GTTAACAATACTTAGGATATACCAAGGCTTGGATATACCTAATCAAAAGACCACTCTTGCACCTAGACTACCTTGCCAACTTGTCTCATCAACTGACATACTTAATGCACAGTCAGGTTTCTGTGAGTATTTTCCTGTACAGAAGTATGTGAAGGCTTTCAGACTAGGAAAACATCATCCCTGCCCCAGGCAGTATTTACCCCAGACCTTTTGGTCAACCCTGAGGTTTTAACCCCAGGTTAATGCCTCAACTTGGCAGATGTAGCCTCAAAATGCTGCACATTGTACTACCTGGATATATCACCTAGCAACCGATATCCTTCAGTAAATTTGGCTGTGGAAGCCTTATTCAACACTCTGTACAAACAGGGTGCTGTTGAGATTTGTGAAGCAATTTGTCACCCCAAGCCTTTTGTGCTGTATTTTCAGTCAGGATGACTTTTTCGTCTGGAGTTTCAGCTCCCACTTTCTCTAATAATCCAAAGAGAGTACTTTGTGTGAATGGGTGAATTAAACAATTTTGTTCCGCAGCATATTCTAAGAGACTTAGCATAATTGGATTATTGCCTTCGCCAGATACTTGAAAACAAACTACATGTACCTCAACAATTACGTCACGTAAAGTGTTCTGAATATTCAAACTAACAAAGTTTTGTGCCTATGACCTTCCATAGGTTATGCTGGATATTTCAGTGAATGTTAGACATCCAGATAATAAGATATGCCAAAAAACAGTTACTGGATATGATTTTGGAAACAGTCAGATGTTTCAGGTAACATCCACTACCTTTCTTCAGTGACACTAGAGAATGCAGGAGAACTGCAGGTTTATAAGCACAAACTATTGACTGATATGCAAATAAGTGGAAAACTTTTCTTCACCTAAAATACAATAAGTCTAATTCTATCATTTTACTTGGATGGGGCAATTCAGGGAGAGCTTAGAGCATAAATTCACAGGTCTTACATGCCCACATGTACAGTGCATTGAACACTTCAATTGTTCAAAACAACATTTAGATTTTATGAAGTATGTCACATAATCATACCTGTTGTCTGAGTATAGCAGGTGGTTGTTCCATAGCAGCAACATCAGTACAGACGTCAAGAGTATATATAGACCCTATGGTGGTATGTACGTAACCAAGTATCAAATGTTCCACACACAAGGTCTGGTCACGACTGGGGACCAATCCATTTGACAGCCACCATGATTGAGATACTAAGAATTAAACTTTAATGATAAGAGCAGGGGCTTATCATTGGGAAGTTATAGATTGGGGCAAACTCTTTGTGCGTACCATTGGACATAATGAATAGCCTGGACTTCGTCCTTCTATTTCGAGTTGAAGTTAATTCTGATCAATGGAGTCATCTGTTCTTTGAAACTTTCCCATAAAACTGTATTGACTGATGAATGCCCTCTGCCCACGCACTCAAGCCATTACTTACTAGTACAGTAACTGTAATCACAGTATCCAAAACAAGATGTACATGTACATCTACATGTAGTTCTATGGGATCATATTACAATACAATTAAGAGCTCAACATAATGATTGTTAGCATGGCATAGTGTCACTTAGTGCTAGATGCTGTTGGAGCTTTTGTCTTTTCATTATAACTTAAAGGCAAGTTCAAATGTAAGTATCCAAAGGTCAAAATGCACTTTTCTGGACTTTCAGCCTATTGAAACAATTTTGAAGTAGTCACCAACACCATAACACTTCAGGAGACACACACACACACACACACACACACCATGGTACTGTACTTTGTTTTTCTAAATTTTAGCTCTAAAATCACCTAAAGTTGGCTTCACCAATAACTAAGCCACATCCCTGTTCCCTTGTACCTGTAGTAACTTGCCAAATACCATTGACGTAAAGTTTTTAGAAACTTAAAACATAGCAGGTTTAAAAGATTTAAAAGATTTTATTCCTTAGTATGTACACAGAATACTTTGACAGTCAATCCTGATGACAATATTGCTAAGTGTCCGTGTCTTCCTATATAACCATCACACAGTAGAACCAATACCTTACAACATACACATGTTAGGACACTAAATCTGTGTCCAACCAAAACAGATCCGTGAACTTCTGCACAAAACGGCCACCCAAAACAAAATGACCAACATTCCACGAGATGGTCCCCTGTGTACACTGAGTTCTGCTTCAGTAATGAACTTGAATGAAGCTGTGTTTCCACCTGTTCTGAATGGGGCTATTTTGTAACCCAAGTATCCTGACACCTGCCAATAAGCTAGCAATTACCTTGAGTGCTGCCTATGGTGTTGTACTTTTGTAACACAAGTTTTGAAACTTTTTGTGACTTAATACTAGTACTATCTACTCAAAGAGCACAGTTAATGATTTGATAATGGTTAACTATACAGCAAAACAGACTGGAATGGTGTACGACTCTTTTCTTTTGCTACAAAGCACAAGTATGTCATTGGGACACATTATCCAAAATGATTTGTGCACTATAATGTGATTTGTCACTCAGTTGTCCACAAATTGTGCCCTCTGTGGACAGGTGTAATTTACCACGTTACACTAATGACTGTTGACTGGTAAACTTGTTTGTTGTTTGTTCATGAGCTGTGCCCATACCTCAGCAGTTGTTGTACAGATGTGTACACAGTGACCACACACTGTACTGGGAAAGGGCAAATCTCCACTATACCAGGCCTCTCAAGTTCAGAGCAAACATACAATGTTTGCCCCGATTCAATATCTCTTCTGGGAATAATATTATTGCTGCATATTTGGGATACGTTTGTTAAATAATAATCTATCTCTCATCATAAATGTTGAATATAAAGTGCAATATAATCATACAATATATATGGCAGAAGTATATATGCCAGGCTGCTAGAAATTTAGAAATGGGTTGACACAAAAGAACAAAACAAACAATGTATCAACAAGTTGATGGAAATTCCATGTGACAGTTACTTTGATCATCGGATTGGTGACATTCCTCTCTTATTTGGGTCACACGGCAGTAAAGAACTGTGTACTTTCCCAGCAACAGCCTCAGTCTATACTAGCTATTATCAGTTCATGAAAATAGCTTGGTACCTTAGATACGCAATCCGTCCAATCACAACAAAACTGGTTTGTCACAAATGATGTCAAAGGTTTAACACTTCATATCATATGATGTTCTTTTCTGTTTGCTTATTTTTTGCCATTTTACATTCAAAGTCATTAGCTAAAAAGCTGACATTGTGGTTCTGGAGTTAACTAGAATTGTTATCATGGCTCCTGAGAACTTCAGGCTAAACAACAAGCAGAAATTGTTTCCCAACAACCGTGATCAAACAGACTTATCTCTTCCTAGCTTTACAAGGGTTTAAAATTAATGACATGGTTACTATAAAACAGCGTGATCTTAAGATCGACACAGGAATCCGGATTATCTCATTCAATACAAACTTATAATTAGTTACTACTTGTACTCATATTTGTTTGTAAAGCCTAAGTTACCATCAAAAGGCAGACTTACTTTCATCTGTGTCTTCTTTTTTTTTCCATTATCAAATTTAGCCTTGGTTAGGCAGTTCAGAAATGAGACGAATAGAAAGTTAGGAAAATTATAGTGACCGAAAACTGTCATCTTTGTCTGACCACTAGATGAATTCTTTGGCATTGACCATGGCAATAAGGACGATAACAGTTGTCAAACATTTCAAAAATTTGAAATGAAAGAGACAAACATTGTTTTACGTCCAAAAAATGCCTACAAGGAAGCTAATGAAAATAAAGATAATCTACCACAGAATCATTTATCATAAAAAAGCAAATGACGGGCAAAATTTGAAGATTGAAGACTTAAGATTCACGTCTTCAGCACACACTTAAGTTAAGGATTTAAGGTTGGGAGCCCTTGTTGTTGTCAGAAGTATTTGCGAGCATACCACACAGGCTTCAGCTGTTTTCATTTGCACTGACACGTTTAGTGACGAACATATCCCTCTGTATACACCACTCAATGCAAATCCTGGTAAAGGCCTGCATGTCACAAATAGACAGACTAGCGACTATCATTTTGTATCATGAGATTTTCTACCTTTCAATTTCATGAAAACTGTTTCTTGAAAATTGTATGGCTTTAGAGTTAGACTATCTTTTACTGACTTAGGTCATTCATGCCTAAACATTAAATCTTAACCACAGTTTTGTACAGATCAGGTGTTTTCAATGGGATTTTTCTTTACTTAACCTTCTCACTGCTGATGTGTCTTCTGGTACTAGATTGGTGATGGTTACAGGTTAAGGTAGCTGGGAGAAGGTTAAGTAAAACTGAAACATCTACCTCTTCGACTAGATATACTGGCATGGTACCATACACCTGTAATATCCTGGACTCAACTCTTTAGCTTCATGTTTTGTACTTCAAAATGTTCTCTCATTGTTCAGATAGCCTGCATTTGAACTCTGAGATCACTGACTGTGACAGAGCAGTCCAGTCATGGATCACAGTCCTATCATTAAATGTCTGTTCTCTAACTCTTCTTTGTCAAAGGACCCTCAAGTTTAAAACTCGACAGGTGAAGTATAGCACATTGGTATACTCAGTGTTAGAAATACCCATCTGCAGTCTGCATTTTTGCAGAGTCATTTTCAACATTGCAGTAGAAAAATTAAGCAACCTGCAATTTTGCAGACTGAAATAAACAGGCTAAAGTTTCAATGGTGTCAGCATAAAATTGTTTACGAGCGCTATGTTTACTACTGACACCACAAAAAAATATTACTTTTGCATGTATTTTTCAAATGGCATGCAAAAATAAATGTTTGCCAACAAGCAATTTTGTATATGACAAATTGGGCTTATGTCCGAACTTAGTATTGCAGAAAGTATTTCGAATTGCAGAACAAACTTTTGAAATTCTGCAATATTGCAGAACACTGGAAATAAGTATTTCTACCACTGAGACCAAAATCTTAGAACTTAATTCTTACTTCAAACTCCAGACTTAGATCTTACCTGTTTCTCCTTGATGTTTTCTCCAGGTGCGAGGGCTGAGAGCCGTGACTTCCTGGCGTCGGCGGAGCTGCCCATCGCTCTGCGGCTCACCTGGGGTTCCCGTGACTGCCGCGGCGGCGATCGTCTTCTCTCCGACATCTCGCTTCAGGAACTGTACTTCTGCGATGATCCAACCATGTCAACAGAGTTTCTAACTATATGATCTTAGAGATCGGGTTTTGTGCGTGCGAAAAATTTGCACGTGAAAAACTTGCGCATGAAAAAATCTGTATGTGAAAATATGCAAATTAGCTGATTCCCAAGGGATTTAAAAACTTTTTGCCATTTTAAGCTTAAAAGTTGGAAAAAGGACAAGAAAATAAAAATTCCCTGATCTTAGATATATTGCAAATTTAATAAGTTATCAATAACTATTCTTTGCATGCTTGTAACATGCTAATGTTACAGGCACTCACATGGACCACATGTAGCATAGTGAAGAACAGGTTAAACTAATATTACCTTATAATAACCAATATTATATTTATTTATCATACTTATTAGTTTATTATCGTTTAAGTAATTGAGGCATTATGTATGTCATCAATTATCAGAATATCAGTTTATGATACGACAGATATTAATTCGAGATAGTAGTTGAACTAGTAACTAGTCATTCCTATTTCCTAGTATTAAGGACGGTCTATCTCGTAGAATGTTCTTGCTAGTAATAGTATTAATTTAATTAATGTTTAACAAAATATATAAGGTTGTTACAAAAGGTCTACTTTGTATGGTGGGAACATAATACATCTTGTTAGTACATTTGTTGGTTCAAGGTAACTTCCCGTAGTTTGGAATCTCTACAAGGTACCGTGAATTAGGACAGAAGAGATTAGATAACACCTTCAGCAATGGAGTCTATTGTCGTAGCTGAGTGTCAGATCACCGACAACTGGTCATTGACACCTCCAATCAAACGTGTCAAAACGTCAACTACATAGGATGACGCAACCTATCGGGCTAACGATAGTTAAAACACAAGTGACTGAACAGTTTCTTACCTTTTTTGGTGTCCAACTGGCAAGGAAACTCGAAGGAAGAGAGTTAGAGTCCGTTCAAGTTAGGCAAAATCTGTACACAAACGCGTGTTGCCCGGTCCTAGTAAAGTTCTCAGGCGGGGTGGTCGGTCGTTTCGGTCGAAGATATCTCCGTAAGGGTGGGCGGTACGGGTTTGAAACTTCTCTCCTACGTTGGCAAGTCTTTCGTCTTGAGTTTGACAGCAAGTGTGGCGAAGAAAACGGCAAGAAACAAGTTTTACACGAGTTTGAAGACGGTGCCGTCGACCCCAATCCGCCCGGCGGCCGCCATGTTGGCTGTGTATCTGGTTACATGGATACAGGGGTACACCAATATGCAAATTAGATCCGGACGATACGATGGTCTGGTACGCATTAAAAGTTGAAAGTTGCCTGTCACACATGAAAAATGGAACGTGAAATTGGGTAATAATCCGTGAAATTAAACGTCTTTTCCATTCTTGGAACTTTGTTTTCAATTAGATGATGAATAAAGAGGTGAAGGCGTAAAAAAAACAGTAGCAGACTTGCCCTCTATAAATTTTCCAATAAATATCGACGTTATGATGGCAATAAAACTAATATGAATTAAGGGATCCTATAGATATATACTAAATAGCATATATAGTTTTTAATATCTTGCCCTTTATAAAAAGACCGTAGATTGATAATGATTTTAATGTCGAGAGAACGTTTTTAAAGGCTGGTCTATCCGTTGTGACGAAGTGCGCCCGCCCTAAATCAACAAAACTTTTGTTGTGACCTGCGAGAAAAAATCACTCCCAACGGTAGCTACACAAATATGGCCCAGTGTACAAACACGCGGGGCAATATTGTTTGCTTTTCTTCGTGCGGACTTCGGTGGTTTTTTGAGGTACTGTCGTAACTCCAGTGACCGCGTTCTTGTTGGGGGAATTTCGGCAGGTGACAGTACAGATGCCTGGGGCGGTCATACCGTACCCGGGCTACCGAAGACAAGACGACGACCCCTGGTTTAGATAATCACTAATGAATGGCTAGCCATAATGAAGTAAAAGAACACAATAGTGTCAGCTCAGCTGGTTATTATGAGGAACCGCCATTCCAGGGTGTACCAGTTACGGTTCAACTGAAATGGTCGAGCAGTAAGACGTCTTACGTACTGATGAATCCGTGTCATACTTCGTAGGATGAAAGCGAACAGCTGGATGGAAATTTAAGAACAAAAGGCCTGGTCACATACATCGAATGATTGATTTATAACGCATTAATGGCATTCTTGTATATAGTACAATTGTCGATGTGCCTAGTAGTGGGGGTCTTGGTGGTCTTTGGTGGTTTTCTGATTAGCCCAAAACCGGGGGTAATTCAACTAGGCCGGCTATGCTGTCTACATGCAATCAGAAAATAGCAAATAAAACTTTTAAAAGCTCTCAAAGACCCTGAAGACCCCCATGAAAATCCCCCAGCTTTTGGCATGCTATGGAGGCTAGGATGTGCCCATGTTTTCAAGCTTATATATTTTAGTGAAATTTAGCCCAGGCGCTCTTGTGACGGAAAACGTTATGATCGTCACTATGTTTTTCCACAATTTTTGTACCTCCATGGTTGTACCTACCTTAGATCCTTGTCGAGGACCAGTCCAGCTCACTTGAAATCCTATGGCTATGACCACACTATGACGGAGGAAATCGCGCGTCGACTGTGGATATGAGACGTCCCTCGGACTAAATGAGTGTAATAAACTGTAATTAATAAGTGAATTGCTGTATTCACTAATCATTATGAGTTACATAATTACCGGTAGTTATTGAGGCCATGCTCCATAAAACACTTGAGAATGATAACAATCACTGGGACTGAAAACAAACCTTTCGACTCTGAGTTTCAAGTGATGTGTGTTGCGCTCATAAGTTACCTTCAAGTTGATATGTAACGGGTTTGACGTCGTTTGTAAATTGATTTAGGGAAAAGTCCATTTTAATCTTTTTTTTTCTGTGAAATAAGTAACCTCTTCTTCCTTGCTACACCCCACTACCAATTGTTAATGATTAAACAAAGGTAGGGTGCAATTTAAGAGAGGACGCAAACACTTTGCCGCAATTGTTCTGAGGCCTCTGTACAATGTTAGGGCAAGGTTTCAACAAAACCTTGGGTCAACCTTCATTCACAAAAACAGCTCCCCCTGCCGTCTTCGGTTACACACTGTACCCGCTCATTTTCACTCCAGAAATAACTTCATTTCTTTTGCCACAAAACAAATGAAATATGAGCAGAAACAGTGATGAATATCCTACAGACTTCAACGTTAGGCAATCTTCTTTAATCAAATACCAACCGAAATGGAAACCACACGTAACTCAATTGAAGTTTTGAACACTGTCTGTAGCTAGTAACTTTTCACACAATAGGGTGAATGACCGATAGTGTTTAGAATGATTTGCTACCCTAGCCTCTGCCAGGCTTCGAGAGGCGACTGGAAAGAGTAGAAATCGGCCAAATAGAGAGCCGACCAAACTCCCTTGGCATGCTATCTCTCTGGGCCGATTTCTACTCTTTCCAGCCGCCTCCTGAAGCCTGGTAGAGGCTAACACTCACTGACCCACGGCGCATGAATGAGGCAAATAATTACTGGTGCTAAACTAACAAAGGAACTGATATACAGCCGTGTCTGTCACTCAAACTACCTGTTATCTGTTAACGTTTTGTGTGCGCTCAGTTGAGAATCTGGAAAAGTGGTAGTGAGAAAATGGTACTCTCCAAGCAGAGGTTTGGGTTTTGGGGGTATTTTTAGTGTGTTTTTAGGCTTTTTTATCGGGGTTTCTCTTTTGCACTGAATTTTTTTCCCCACCAAACCCAACCTGGGTTTGGTGGGAAAAAAAAAGAGTAAGAAAATGGCAGCCAGTGGCCAGTGAAAAAGAAATGACCACTTTTCTGGGATGGTCTGTCTGTCTGTTCATCCAACTATCTACCTAATCATAAGGTTTAGTAGGAAAAGGAAAATTGAGGGGAATCGTTTGAATCTTATGTGTGTCATTCAAGATAAATTGCTGCTGTCTTTTGGATCTTATGTGTGTCATTTAAGCCAAATTGCTGCTGCCTTCAGGAAAAATTACATGGTACATGTATTATAATCTTGTTGACAATCTTTCTCTCTAAAAGCTGTACTGAAAACTGATGACATGAATTGTAAAGTGAGGGTAACCTTGGATGACAGGACAGTACATAATTATAATGGAGTTATTTCAAGCACTTTGAACTGCAGGTTTGATCTGAAATTTGACAAAGTGGACATTGGTAAATATATAAAGCTGTGTTACTTTTGTCTGAGTTGCAGGGTAATGTGTAACAATTCAGTCTAACAGAAGAAAGTCTTCTCAGATGTTTTTATTGCTGAAACATGATAAATCATTATAATAAAAACCACACACAAGTTTCTAGGGAAGTATGGAAGGAATTCAGCATAGTGTAAAAATTTAAAAACAACAACTAACCCTTCAGTGTAACAAGCAAGGATGCTGGTCCTCATTGACCTTGACCCCCAAAGGCCAGCCTGACAAAACAAACCTTTCAATTCAATATATTTACATATAAAATGACTAGTGACACTAAGTACATAACATTGTATTTACATTGTACACAGGGTTTGCTTAGAAATTGTTTTTTTTATTCTTAACCTTCTTCCTGCTATAAAGGTAGTCTTTCGGTTCTAACTTAGGCCACACCAATTTAACTTGTTGCTTCTCGGATTTTTTCAGAAAAAATATGAAGCGACAGGGCGAAAAAAAAAAACCCAGGCCAAGGCACCCCATGATAGCCGGAAATGTTACAATATGAGCCGAAATGTTACAATATGAGCCATGAAGTGAACATACCAGGTTGGTTTATAATTAAAACAATAGATTTGGAACTTTTAATGAAACAAAATTGCAACAACTAGGAAGAAAAGGACCATTTGGGCCAAAATATGTCTTTCATTGAGCATTTTGCAGTTGATTTAGAACAAAAAATTTTTTTTTTTGCAAATCAGAAAAAAATGGACAGGGCAAATCCGAGAAACAACAAATCAAATTGGTGTGGCCTTAGCATTTATCACTATAGGGTTAAGCAGTAGTGAGAGGGTTATTACAAACAGTCCTGGTCATCGAATATTTGATCTCGATCTGCTTCTCCTCCCATGAGTAGCAGACGGCTGTCTGGAGTCAGGGAACGGGAAGGGAACCCCAAACCTCGTACACATCTGTCTCATGGTCATCTCATACTCCTTGTTGAGCTTGGCAGATTGCTGTAGTGCGTACTTCAAATCTTCTATCTCCTCAAAGAAACCCTATGTGGAAAAGAATATGCAGCAGTTCAAAAGAGAAAAAGACAAACACAGTAAAAACTAGAATTCCGAGATCTCATACCTCCATGAAATATGATCTTGATATGTAAATGTAAATTTCATCTTTAATTGTGCAATTGACCTCTGCATTAACATGATATATGCATCGTGATGTATGTTAACTTTTGGTTAACTTACAGATGTCCCAAGTATGACATTCTCATCATTCACCATTACGAAATCATAGAATTTTTGCATTAATTATGCAAATTAGGTCATCATTTGCATAATTAGTATCTGTTGAAGTTCCGCCTGCCATAGGTTACATACATTACATGTATGTAAGTAGTATAATGTAAAACACTGTAATTATAGAATTTCCTCATTAATTATGCAAATAAAGTCCTCATTTGCATTTAATTATGTACATCTCTCTCTCAGCTACCTGCACACCAAAAATAATGAAAATATGTTGTTCCTGTCTGGACTTATTGGCTATTAAACATTTCGCCAGAAAGTGCCCTGCAGTTCCAGAACAAGCTGCTAGGAAGCCCAAACTCATATGACTTCTTCCCAAGCACGAGAGCTACCTTCCATCAAAATTTCATGACCCTAGCATGTCCAGATCACGAGATATCAAAACCGGAAGTTGCGCTGCAGTACCAAGGGAAGCCACTAGGGGGACCAAAATTTAATCATTTCTAGTTTTCGTCACACCCTACCAACACACTAAGTATGAAACCAATCCATCCAGGCGATCTTGAGTTATCTTGTTGACCAACAGACAGACGGACAGATAAACGCAACTGAAAATATAACCTCCATGACACATTTCATGGAGGTAAATATTCATGCAGGTAACTAGAGAACATCCGCATATCTATATACAAGGTAAGCTTACGCATGCGCACTAGAAAATGGTAAACAAACTTTTCCAAATAAACAAGTAAACAAATACTGTACACTGGTATCAAGGTTTGCTGGCATCTTAAATTTACATGTTCTGCTTATTCAAATATACGAGAGATCAAAGTCCCCCTTTTTTACAAAAAACCATGACATTTTCTATGTTAGAATACCCATCATTCTTTTCGCGACTGTACTGGCGGACTGTCATGGCGGACGTCGGAGCGACACCTGAGATTGAAGAAATGTCCGAAGAAGACTCAGAGAGCGAATACATGAGCTGTAAGTTGCAAAACATTCTTACATACGCCATAAAAAATCTTTACTGGTGCTAATTGAAGTCCTGGAGGTAATAATAGCTGCGGGGAGGTAATCTCGGAGAAAACAACAGAGTCTACAGAATTTCTTGCGATCAATAACTTTCTGTTTGTAAATGGTCCTGCACAAGTATTTACAGAGCTTATTGGTAATGGGTGTGGCTTTCTTCAAACACAGCAATTGAAACACTCAATATTTGTTCACACATAGTCCCATGTACTGGCAGTCAACATTTCAAGTGTTTTTTTTTTCAAGTAGATTTTGCTTGTTTTTCCTACAGGTCCAGTCCGTCCAGAAAGTAATCCAGGCGGTCCCATCACTATTTACTGGCCTAATGTTCCTCAGCACCCTATAGCTGATGAAAACGGGCCTCCGACATATGAACAGAGCCAAGAATGGGATAGGATGACCGGTCAAAGAGGGACACAGCATGAGGGCTTTCCATTTACAGATCAACCTAGTGGAATCCAAGCACCCACCACAGCCCAAGACCCTGCCAGAGCTCAATCACCACCAGCTACTGCAACTAGTGGCCGAGCATTGCCTCCAGGAGGTAACCTGTTATACTTTTGGCCCCAATACGGTCCAATATCCCATAATGATTACATAAAATCCCTCCCTACTTTACATCATGGAAGTTCAGTTAGCCAGCCATTTGGTCAGTTCAGAGGAAGGTGTCATTTTCCAATAGATAAATAGGAAGTAAAAAAAACTAGAGTTCCTCGATCTCATACCTTTGCCAAATGATGTTAGCCTTTATGACTAAGAAATTATAGATTAAAATCCCCCTGATTGTGCAAATAGGATCCTATATCGCAATAATTATATCTGTTGATCATATTCTACACCAGAAGACAGTCTTATCTTATCAATGCATGCCATTATAGCATGTCCTCATAAATCATGCAAATGAGGTCCTTATTTGAATAAGTTATCTTTAATTATGTTCACCCTCACATAACTTTCAAATATCCCAAGTATGAAATTCCTCACATTACCAATATGTAATTCTAACATTTTCTCATTAATTATGCAAATTAAGTCTTCATTTGCATAATCGATATCTGCCTGTATTTCTGCCGTTCTGAATTACATATGTCACAAGCTTGAATAGTCCTATCATGGAATGCAGCTGATTTATAGAATTTCCTCATTAATTATGCAAATTACATTGATATTTGCATAATTGTAATATCATTATGTCAAGCATCACTTCAGCTACCTGCATGCCAAAAATCACGTCGATCCATTAATCGGTTCTTGAATTATCCGCCTTTAAACATTTTTAAACTAATGCCCCTGCAGTTCCAGAGCAAGCTGCTAGGGGCCCCAAACTCACGTCACTTGTTCCCCAGCACAAGAGCTACCTACCATCCAAATTTCGTCAGCCTAGCATGTCTAGATCACGAGATATCAAAACCGGAAGTTCAGCTACAGTACCATAACAAGCCGCTAGGGGGCCCAAAATCTAATCAGTTCCACGTCTCATCAAGACCTACACACCTACCAAATATCAAGACAGTCCATCCAGGCGTTCTTGAGTTATCGTGCTCACACACACAGACACATGAACGCCTCTGAAAACATAACCTTCTTGGCGAAGGTAATGAATACTACTTCACACAGTATACAATATTGGTCCTTCCCACTTGTTGCACATGCATACAAAGGCATCTCAGCACTCTTGAAAACTCTCCAAAAACCCTCTAAGCTCCCTGAATCACTGTGACAATAATACCCATAGTAGTGTTTAGGCCACACCAATTTAATTTGTTGGTTCTCGGATTCGCCTCTTCGTTTTTTTCTGATTTGCAAAAAAAATTAGATTCTGGTCCTGAATCAACTGAAAAATGATCATGTTTTGCCCCCCAACAGTTGAGGAAAGTCCTTTTCTTCCTAGTTGTTACAGTTTTCCCATCTATCATTGCAGTGGTTTGATTAAAAGTTCAAAATTCAATGTTTAAATTTTAACCCAGCCTTTTGTGTTGACTTCATGGCTCATTTTGCAGCATTTAAGCCTATAATAGGATGCCTAGACCTGTTTTTATTTTATTTTTTTTCGCCCTGTCGCTTCATATTTTTTCTGAAAAAATCCGAGAACCAACAAATTAAATTGGTGTGGCCTTAATGACCAAATCATAACAGTTACTGTCTATTTTCAGATGGCATAGATGACAACAGTCCATTGGTGAGCATCTTGAACAATCAGGACCTGCTCAGCAAAATCACAGAGATGCTGGACCAAGTCAGCAGTGGCAGGAGGAACTGGACAGCCATAGCTAGCAAATATGGCATTGAGTATAACAAGTGTAAGAACATCGATTATATTTGTCGCTATACCGGTGGTTGCACAGAGGTTGTGATCACACGTGTGGTTTCTTCCAACCCAGAAATCACTGTAGGAAACTTTGTTGAGAAGCTGGGGGAGATTGGAAGGAGTGATGTAGTAGATGCAGTGAAAGAATTTTATTCGCATGAATAAAATACTGTTGCTAATACTGAGTTTGCCATGGTAAATGTGCATCTTTGTTATGTATTTTGTATGAGAGCATTAGTCTATCATGTTGCTCCTGAAACTGCACTAAATGTGCATCTTTTGTTATGTTATTTTGTATGAGAGCATTAGTCTATCATGTTGCTCTTGAAACTGCACTAAATGTGCATCTTTTGTTATGTTATTTTGTATGAGAGCATTAGTCTATCATGTTGCTCCTGAAACTGCACTAAATGTGCATCTTTTGTTATGTTATTTTGTATGAGAGCATTAGTCTATCATGTTGCTCCTGAAACTGCACTAAATGTGCATCTTTTGTTATGTTATTTTGTATGAGAGCATTAGTCTATCATGTTGCTCTTGAAACTGCACTAAATGTGCATCTTTTGTTATGTTATTTTGTATGAGAGCATTAGTCTATCATGTTGCTCCTGAAACTGCACTAAATGTGCATATTTTGTTATGAGAACAAAGTATTTCATGTTACTCCTCAAAATGCAAAGAGATGTCATGAATTAAGCAAAAACAAGCAATAGCTACAGTAACTACTTACAGCATCTAAACCTTTCAGTTCACTCTTGAACTTCAGGTTTTCCTTGTTCAACTTGTCTCTCTCCCGCTTTAATTTCCTAATCTCCTGTAAAAGACCTGAAAAGGTGGTTAAAATAGTAAAACAATGACTTGGGGAATAAAAGAAAAACTTTGAAGTATGCAGAACCGTTTTCTTTTATTCTGCCTCCAGCACATTCATTCTGTATAGGTTATTCATTTTATATTCTGTTTCATTCGTGTTTCATTCATGTATCATATTGACTTTCTGTATTGTTTTTATGCATGTGCAAATGAAAATAAACAAATAAACTTTCAGCCTGCTAAGGTAGCCATTTGGTACCAAATTTGTATTGGTTATGGGATTAGCCAACAGGAAGAAGGTTAAACCAATGAATAGGAAGAAATGCCAATCACATCCCACATGTACAGGATAGATATCTGATAGAATGGTGGAAAAAATTGGCCTATAATAGCACAACTAACCAGTGTCAGTAGGTGATGGTGTTCTCCTATAGGGGGATCTACTTCTCTTCCCACGAGCCTTTGGGGCCTTGCCTGGTGGTGCATGCTGGGATTGCTGCAGCCTCTCCACCTGCTGGTTAGCCTTCTGTAGACTCTGCTCAAGTTCGTAGATTTTTAGCTGCATCCAAGAAAAGGAAAGAAATTTGATAAAAAAAATTTACAACGCAAAGTTCTTTTCTAAAAAATGCTGGCTCTTCTAATGTTCTATCTCGTATCTTTGCCTACAGATAGTTTCAGTAGTTCTTTTTACAGTATAACTTACTGTTGCATACTAGAACTTTTGAGGGATCAATGTTGAATACTCACATTCAGATTTGCTATGGCCTCCACATGTTCTGCATTTGTTTTCACCTCCTTCTCATATCTCCTCAGGAGGGTGTTGTGCATGGCAAGAAGTCTGCAAGAAGCACAAACACACAAATTAAACACACCTTGTTTTTTTGTTTATTCACAAAAAATGCCAAAACCCATTGTACTGTAACTTTACATGTACATGCACAGATCCCATATCATATACGCTTCAGTCTTCATTGTGTGGTCACTGCCTTAGTTTTAGTGGTCCTAAAGATATAATGAATGTACATGTAGTTTGACTCACTTGTTGACTTTGTCTTCATCACCCTTGGCCTGCTTTCCTGCAGGTCTGCTGGTAGTTGGTAGGGGTCTCTGTTCCCGCTTGGACTGCCATTGGGACTCTGTCTGGCTCTCTGCACTGTAGGAAACAACCCAAATCTTTTATATCTACCTAAGTCAGGTGACTGTGGATTTATGCGTGAAAACTCATCACACCTCAAGTCTAAAGTAAAGAACTCATCACATTTATCGACATTGAAGAATATAATGTAGGCAGTAGGCACCCATCCCAGTGTGAGTGGATAAACCTACGGTAATCAGTCCAGTCTTCACAAAACATAATTGTGCCTTCAAAGTAGGGAATGTATCTGTATCAGTATAGTCGGTATAACCGCCCTTCGGTGTAACACACCAGCTTCGCTGGCACTCGGCGTGGCGGCAGCTAGCTATACCACAACAAACGACTTGTTACACTCTATCTTCCTGTATCTGTATCAGAATGTAGAGAACTAACAGTTATAAAAAAACAAACAAGCAAACAAACAAACTATCTATTACTGCATACTTCACACACAGTGACACAGTTACAGACAGTTACATACAGTAACACGTACAAGTTACTAGTACTTAAGAACTTACTTCCTGGTAGTGACGTAGTCCCTGAGCAGGGTCTGAACTCTGACCTGGTCCTTCAGCTGTCCCAGCTCCTGCTCCAGGCCGCTGTTCTTCCTTCTCAACTTCCTCACCTGTCTGGTCAGGTGCTGGTTCTCTACTGTCAACTGTTCAAGATAGTCATCGTCATTATAGATGATGTTTTGCATTTCACCATATGACAACCAGTCATACTCAAAATTCTTTATTTCTGCAATATGCAACTGTTATTCTGTACTTGTTTGCTCAGTCTGCACTCGTTCACCTGCATACATTACATGATTACAATAAATTAGTGTAATTATTATATTTATTATTGTAATTACTTTTCTGCAACCCCAAACTTTTGCTCCAAGCAAGGAGCTTTCCCTATAACTTACTAGAATATGCTCCTTGCTCCAAGAAAAAGTATATAGGGACCCCAGAAATAAAACCATTCGAAACACATGAATGTAGCAGTGTAGTTTTACAGTTCCTACCATTCGTACAGTTTCAAACTGTACGAATGTTGGGAACTGTAATTACGTAGTCTAGCATAATTGTTGTTAAGGATCTCGTAAATCGTAAATCAAGTCATAAACACCTGTCCGTTCAAAAAAGTAACCGCTTTTGTTCTACTTGATATCGGTCCGACGTTACCTTGTTGCAGACGTGAATGCTTGGCATATCCATACTGGGGCACTTCTCTGCTAGCTCTGGCACTCTTGGGGTATAAGTTAATATCTTATTAGACTAGACAACACCTATGATACTACATAACCTTTCTAAACCGCGCGGTGGTTTCTCGATTTACTCTTTCCCCCAAAAATTGTTCTTTCTTCCGCCATTTTGAATTTGCCGCCCAAACGAGCTGCCCAGTGAAAACAACTTACTGCCATAAATTTGTCATCGTTACTTCGCCCTTTCCTGGTCAAAGTTTGTTAAAAAAAATATTTGTATCTCAGTAAATCAGTATTTTTATGTGTTTCTATCAACTTGATTTACGTGTCTGTATCGATCAGCATTGTCGATTTTTTTTAGGCAGAGCAGAAGAAAACCAAGGACAGCTTCTTGTATCACCTGTCCTGTTGGACGACAAAATGGCGACTCCAGTGAAAGTGGCGAAGACAGAGTCCTGGGATGTCTGCTTTGACGCCGCCGTGGAGGTGGCCAGAAAAGCTGGGGAGGTGAGATACGGTCTTTGAGAGAGATATGAATAAGTTGTTTTGCATATTTCGTTGCCTTTATTGTTGTAGCTCACCTTGAAAGTCATTTTATTGCCTGAGGGGTGGGAGGGCGTTTCGTAAATGCGGAACTTCTTTTTTTTTTCAGCATGATTGGGAAATCAAACTCATCATAATTCTATAATTCTATTGCCGTACCCTTACGAAGACTGACTTTGTTAACATGTAGTTTACAAAGATTTAGGATCAGGAGCTATCCGGGGCTATCAAAGATACAATTATTGGAATAATTCATCATTTTGTGCTTGTTATATAACGTTATAGGAGATCAGAAGTGCCTTCAGCAGTGAAAAGCGTATCGAGACCAAGTCGTGTGCTGTGGACCTGGTGACAGAGACGGACCAGAAGGTGGAGAAGATGATCATCTCCACACTGAGAGAGAAGTTTCCCACCCACAGGTGAAAATACAACTGTCAAATTATAAAGCAAGACATGATGATCCTTCTAACAATTTGCATGGGAAAAGTGTCAAAGATGATTTCTCCAGAAAGGCGATTCAGCATGTGATAGTACTTACTTGGCAGAGATGGCACAGTGATCATGCTGTCCACCTCTTCCAAGGTAGAGTGGTTTATTTATCGTTTTGTGTGCCCCTCTTTAGGGGCTACTATTTTTTGTTTGGTTTTGGCCAGACATGTTTTGTTAACGACTCACAGGGGCTTTTCCTTTGACATTGGGCAAGCATGTGTAGTCTTAATTATGATCCTCCTTATTGTTGTAAATGTGATGATGATGAGTGAATTGCATGTAACCTCTATTACCCCTTTTCTACCAAGCTGGCCCAGTGATCACAGAGAGACAGTACAGCAATAAAAGATTTAACTGATTGCTCAAGAAATTCGTTCCATGAATGAAAAACAATAAACACATTTGTTTGTTGTCATGTCTTTTAAATCATACTCTCACATCTTACAGATGATCATAATTCAGTGTCCAATTCTGAAACCAAGGGTCGCCATACGGTCACAGTTCAAGGGCCTTAGACTACATGTAACTTAGACTAGTTAGAGTGGCTCTTAAGGCTTGCTCGGCACTGACTAGTAGCATGCAAAGATGTTGTTGAGAAGACTGAAGAATCCCTGTCCTTTTGTATCAGTTTCATCGGTGAGGAGTCGGCAGCGGCAGGTGAGAAAGTTGAGCTGACAGACAACCCCACCTGGATCATCGACCCTGTGGATGGTACCACTAACTTTGTACACGGGTGGGTACAGCTGTGTTTGTTTGGATCAGTTCGACATTTGAGAACAAATATAGATCAGAAATTCTCTAACCCACAATGTTTAAAGTTTTCAAAACTTTCAAGTTTTAACCATATTTTTTTTACCAACTTCAGGTTCCCCTTTGTGGCTGTGTCTATTGCCTTGTCAGTCAACAAAGAGGTAAGGAACCTTTTGTCAAAGCACTAAAATGTTTAAAAGTTGAATCTCCAAGCAGATTTTTGAAAGAGAAAAAAATGAGTTTCTACTGGCCAGTAGTCAGGAAAACAGAGCATTCAATAACACCCTAATTGTTTCTCAAACATTATGTTGTACACATATGTATACTCTTAATGTCACTAAGTATGTTATATGGCAGAAGTACAAGTGGCAGTTCTCACTGTTTTTACAAGTATGTCATTGACTAGTTGGAGGTAAGTTTTTAGGGATCACTGCTAACAAGGTATTTTCTTTTTTTTTCTTTGCATGTTAGGTTGTGGTTGGTGTTGTTTACAATGCCATTCTGGACCAGATGTTCACAGGACAACTAGGGAAGGGCGCCTTCATGAATGGGAAACCTATCCATGTATCTGGACAAGAAGGTAACCTATGGCTCTCTTATTTCAGAGAAATAAATTTCAAATTTTTACTTCCAAATACTATAGTTATCACCAAGAATCCCACGTGTTGTATTTTGTCTAAAACTTTTAAAAGTAAAAATTCTCTGTTTTCCACAGAACTTAGCCAGTCCCTGCTTATCTCAGAATTTGGGTCCAGTAGAGACAAAGAAAAGATGGACCTTGTCTTCAGTAATCTGGGATCTTTTCTTAACGAGAACAACTCAGCTCATGGGTAAGTCTGTAGCATGGTTTTAGGAACATATTTTTAGATGAGACATTGTCTTCCTGTGTAACACTATGTATGTCCTATCTTTGTCTTGATACAGTATAACATGCCTAAGAAATACATCTCTTCTTGTATTGAATATTGAGCATAGCGTGTAAAATATGGTATTTCATCATTGATTCTAAACGCCTGGTCACATACATGTTTGTTGTACAATTCTTGTATGCTTGCAAACTGAATGAATTCTTTTGAAAGTCATGCATGTATCCTCTAAGATTTAGCTGTCTTGTTTTAGAGCCTTGCAAAGATAGCACCAAATTTCAAACAGATCCCCACTGTACTTCTCTCTACAATACATGTTGCACATAATAGCACCATCTGTTTTTCTGTTTCTGTTCACCACTTTTCCTCAATGTTAAAATCTCTCCTCTATTTTCTGTGTCCGGTACCACAGGGTACGGTCCATGGGTTCCGCTGCACTAAACATGTCACATGTCGCCTGCGGTGGCGGGGACGCTTATTTCGAGTTCGGAATCCACTGCTGGGATGTAGCGGCGGGGTACCTAGTAGTAAAAGAAGCAGGCGGGGTTACTTTAGACACCACAGGTGAGGATCATCTTTTTTGTACGTTTGTTTTAGGTGCAGATTTCTTGGCTCAGCGGCTCTGGATATGTGCCAGATAGCCATTGGTGGAGGAGACATGTACTTCCAGTTTGGAATCCACGTATGGGACATCGCAGCGGGGGCACTTATTATTAGGGAAGCTGGGGGAGTAGTGTGGGACACCTCAGGTAGGAGGAAGCTGGTGTAATAGCAGTATAACTTAAGCTGTGAATAGGAAACATTTACGTAATTTTTTTCACATTTTGATGATTTGTCATAGTCACTAGTATTCTTTTGACATCACCTAGCGTGTAGTTATGTTGCATCTTGCTAGAGGGCACATTTTCGTCCAAATATTAAATGAATGTGTAAAAATTGATGATAACTCATGATTACTCTCTTCATCATGTACCTGTTTGGTAGTTATTTTGTGAAAGCTTAGGAGCTTACTTTGATTTGGAGGAAAAGATTTTTAATAGATTCTAACCATGCTATTTTTCTGTGGACTATTTTGCAGCAAACCATGGAATAATGGAATATTGTCACTACAAAGTTTAAAAAAAACTAAGAAATAAAAGGCTTGAAATGTTTCAGATTGAATCTAATCCCATTTTTTTTCACCTGCAGGAGGACCATTTGACATGATGTCCAGACGTGTCCTGTGTGCCAGTAGTGTGAAACTGGCCAGGACGATAGCAGAAGGGCTGACACAGATGGAACTAGAACGAGATTAACTCAACTTTAATATAGCCGACTTTTGCCCTCTTTACTTGTATATGGTGTCGTAGGTATCTTAAGTTGCAATTCTCATGGGACATGCAGTTTTAATGGATTAATTTCTTGGACAAGTTAAGGAATTATTAAAACATACAGAATTATGGAGTGGTAGAGGTTCTTTATTATATATATATAATAACAATGTCATTGTGTAACAATATCATTGGTACAGTTATAAGAGAACACCTCAGGAGCAAAATATTTAGGTGCTGTATTGCAAAGCATCATTGATATCCTAGACTTCCACCTATACATGAAATATACTATAATAGTATGTTATAATAGTATATTAGCCCAAAATGGTAGGAAGTTTTACTTTTTACTATAGAGTTTCTTATAATATCATCCTCCTTACTTCTTTTATAAATGAAACTGGTAGGTAAAAGTTGAAAAAACAACTTCTATTATGATAGCACATAATATATGGAGTAATATGCACAGAAATTAAGTGAGACTATGTTGTATTGGTAATAGGTAATTGTATTGTGATTATTGTTGTCTTAACAATATTATATGCTATCCCCAAAGTGCATCATACATTATCAAAGAGTAGGAATGATTTGGGTAATAAACATCTTATGACACCATATCACACACATCGATTTGATTGGTGAATTCATGCCCGTAGCCAGGGGGGGTTCGGAAGAACCCCTCCACAAGGCTCAAAGGTCTACTTTTTGGTCCACTTTTTATGTAAAGGTCCACTCTTTGGTCCACTTTTATGTAAAGGTCCAAGATTTTTCTTGAAAAGTTGGACTGGAATCGTAGAAAAACTGCTCCCTTTGTCATTGAATAAAAATTTACCTCTGATTTTTTCTCGGAAATCCTCTCAAAAATGCACGAAATGCCTTTTTAGAAGGTTCATTTTTCAAAATTTTCCGGGGGAGCATGCCACCGGACCCCCCTAGGAACCTCGCGCCTTCAGCACTCGAGGTCCCCTCAAGCAGCGGGAAGAACCCCCCATTCAAAATCCTGGCTACGGGCATGCCTATACATGTATCTGAGCTGCACATTTGTAACACAATACATACTAGTAGTTAAGTTCCTGTTGAAAGGTAATTTGGCATGTGCAGAGTAAACTTTGGCTTCTACATGTAAAGGGACCTTTTCACATCAGCAAAACTATTTGTTTGAATGCTGAATCCTATACATGAGCTGCATATTTGTAATTATAGTACTGCTGCTTTTCCAATATAAGGTAATCATTTGGCATCTGAAATTTGGCTTGAATGTGTAATGGCATTTTTACATCAGAGGAACAGTAGGTAGAAATTCTACTTCTTTCTAGAAGGACTTCAAATTGAAAGCTAGATGAGTAAAAAAAATCCCAGTTCTGAAATAGATGTGTGAGTCAGAGGGGTTTTTATGATGTGCAGGCCTTGATTGGCCAGTATGAAAAGGGGATTCCCCTGATCCTGACGTCACTATAATTTAGTATAAAAGAGGTCAGACCAGCAGTCACCTGACTCTTTGCTGTTGGGCCAGTCTTCAGGGAGCTCACCTACGCACAACAGATTCAAGGTAAAGTCTCTTTACCTCTGCAAATAAGGTTGTGTTTTATAGGCATTGGTTTGTCAGTGAACAGGGTAACAAAAAAAAGATATTCGTATATGTAGCCTTGCCATAACAAATTAACTTCATGTGAGTCGACTTGGTGCTTTTGGTGCCCGATTGCCCACCTGCTACATTCATTTAAATGCTTGGAACAAGGTTGTTCTTAAGCACATTTGGCTTTTTCCAATCGTCTATTGGTTAAACGGTAGGCAGCAAGGAAAAGTTTAAGGGACAGAAAAGGAAGTGGGGAATCAATTTATGGGCAAAAAAACCCCAAAAAACTCACAGGCCCAGGTTAGGTATGTGATAAGTGTAAGAGGAAATTTCCATGACGTAATAAAAAGAACCTGATTCCTGATTGGTTACCATCGTTGGGGATTCCCCCGATTCAGACAATAAACATGTAATGAACCAACCTAGCTTCCTTCGCAGACTTGTGCAGTGGCGGCGTTAATTTATTCGGGGATCCGGATCGACGCGAGTAAGCCCCTGAGGGTGTTTTGTGCGTTGTTGTGCGGCGAGAAACTCCCTCGTCAGCAAAACTCCCTCTGCATCATAACTCGCGTCGCTCACGAAAAAATCTTAACGCCGCCGCCACCGCACAAATCTACAGAGGAGACTAGAGCCAACCGTCACTGCGCTGTTTCGCTTTCACTTTTGGGCTGTATTGTATATAAAGTTTGCAAAGCAGTATGGTTAATTATAAATAAGGGGAAGAAGTCTGTCATCTCCGATTGTCTTATTTTATGAGAGTATATAGATCTAATAAAACTTTCAAAGTGTATGATTCTATATTTTCCTCAAGTAGCTCATCATACCAAAACTCATACGTGTTATCCGCATATCTGTTGACAGGCCTAGGCATTGTTGGTCTTACTTAAGGAGACACATAGCCATCCCAGTCCTATCGTTCGACGATAACAACGCAGCTCCAGGAAACGTAGTGAAGATGGAGTGCCAGTGGGATGAATGCTTCGATGCTGCCGTGGAGGTGGCGAGGAAAGGAGGGGAGGTAAGAGGATAGCTCTGAGCGACTTTAGCCTTAGAAATTGATGTTTGTTGTTGTTGCTGTCCATGCCCTCTTGCCATCATAACTGCCAGTGCAATCTAGCCTGGGTGTCATCCTCCGTAGTGGTAGTTGCCGCCCGCTCCCTAAGGCTACCACCTCTGTTTTTAACGTACAACTCATTGAACGTAGAAACAGGCTCATACACTGACTGAAATGGCATGGGTCGTCTTAGGCCCAATTTAGACATAGGTTTCAAGGTGTCGGGACTGCCGACATCTGGTCAGCGACGCTTTTTTCGGTGTCTAAACACGAAATACATCAATGCGCTAGCAGTAACATCCAAATGTTTTGTACTACGCGTGGTAGGAAATCAAAAGTGCCTTCAGCGGTGAAAAAAGTATCCAGACCAAGTCCAGCGCCACTGATCTGGTCACAGAGACAGACGGAAAGGTGGAGAAGATGATCATCTCCACACTGAGTGGAAAATTTCCATCTCACAGGTCAGACTGTTGAACTTGTACTCTTACAACAGGAGATGACATTAGTGAACGAAACTGATGTTTTCCTATTGGTGCAAACAAATTAAAAATATGGTTCTTAGGTCATTGTTTATCCTAATTTGAATGCACCTATGTTATAACACGTACAAGAGAAGTATCTCAAGAAAAAAGAGGAGGAGAGTAAAAAATTCAAAATTTCTATTGACTATCAACAGAACTAACAAGGGTTGATAATTTCATACATGTAGTAAATGATGAATCGTAACTAGAATGGCGGTGTCATTATACTAACTTTATCCATTTAACAGTTGTTTTACTGTTGTGACGGTACGTTGTAAAGTCATTCTCAAGTATGCTTTCATTTATCAGTTTCATCGGTGAGGAGTCTGCAGGTAATAAAGTGGAGCTGACAGACAACCCCACCTGGATCATCGACCCTTTGGACGGTACCATGAACTTTGTACACGGGTGGGTACTGCTACATCATTAGCCCTATTCCCACTAGCTAGGATGATACTAGTATTGTCCGGATCGAGCCGAATTGACTCGTTTTGATCTGGCTCGATCCGGCTCAAGGCTGGATCTAAGCGAATCAATTTGGCTCGATCCAGACAAATTTATCCTAGAGGGAAAAGGGCCATAGTGTCTGCATCATTTGTCCGAGTGTTGATAATTTGCCTATTGATGGTAGAGTACTGCTACCACTAGCAATTAGAAAATTAACGGTTATCGCATGTTTCAGGTTCCCGTTTGTGGCAGTGTCAATAGCGCTGTCGGTAAAGAAGGAGGTAAGTATATACTGTAACCATGTCAGTAAACAAAGGCCTTGTTCACCCTAAATTGCCTGAACCGCGATTCGGGTAACTCGGATTCCTCACGTCTGGTCTACGGGCCACAGATCCCTTTCAAACCGTGCCCGATCACTAGTCCCCTAATCTACACTCATTGTTGTTTGATGAAAACACGCAAAGTAGCGTGTTATCAATGTCAGAGCGTACCTTGGCCAAATGCCGGCGTGGTCCCGCCATGTAATATCCATGTTCCCTATAATTTACTATGGCATTTCTACGAGAAAGGCTGTTGAAAGTCAGTGGCATTGAAGTTGTGTACTTTGTATTTCAGGTTGTGGTTGGTGTTGTTTACAATGCCATTCTGGACCAGATGTTCACAGCACAACCAGGGAAGGGCGCCTTCATGAATGGGAAACCTATCCATGTATCTGGACAAGAAGGTACTCAACGATCTCTTACGGGACATGAAACTTCTTTCAGAAAATATGGCATTCGTGTGTGAAAAAGAAGGAGCCATTTAGAGCGTAGCAGTATCAACATCAAATTTTGTGTTTGGATTTTCAATTTTTGGCAGGGAATATCCTGTTTGTTTTATAAGATTTTGTTTAAGTTTAAAAATGCAGAATTGAAGCTACATCATATTCTATGTTGTTAATTCGTGACGGTGGCGACTACCTCATATTCTGTGTTTATGTACATAGGCAGGAAGTGGTCTTCTCTTCGGAGCTTGCGAAGAAGAAAATATACCATTTTCCACATCACACTTTGCAGCTTGCACATACTGCTATGAAAGTTTCTTCAGTGTTGCTTTAACAAGGTGTATTTGTTTCTACTACAGATGTCAAGAAGTCCATGCTTATTGCAGAACTTGGGAAAAGTAGAGCTAAAGACAAGGTGGACAAGGTCTTCAGTAATCTGGGGGCGTTCTACAACGAGGACAAGTCGATCCATGCGTAAGTTTGCAAAGTACGCAAGAAAAAGTTATATAACTCAAGCAACTGGATAGATTTTGAAAACGGTCAGATGTTGCATTGGCTACTTTCGACAGTGACGGAATCTGTAGTTGAACAGGTATTTATCCAAAAGGTATGAATTGGTATGTTAAGTTTGCGAACTTCACAGTTTATGTTGGAAATTATCATCTTGATGTCACTAATGTGGCCCAGTGATAAAACCTTTTTTTTCTAATTCCAACATGTATCTGTATCTGTATCTGTATAGCCGGTATAACTGCTTTCGGCGTAACACACCAGCTTGTGATCACAAGACGTAGTGACGGCACACTCAAGTTTTTTTTTTAACTTATATTAATGCCGCCACCAACACAGGGGACCATACAATACTCATTTTCACATGAGCATAGTGAGGAAAGTCTTTCCCAAGGGCACAAGATCGGTGCCACGTCAGGACTCGAACCCGGGACCTCTTGGTTCCGCCGTGGTTGCGCCACACGACGCCACAAAACCATTGCACCGGGTATAAAGAGACAGTGCGCTTGTGATAACGTTACAGTCCGTAAAGGTTACTACAATTTTTGCCCTCAGGTGCAGAGTGCTTGGTTCTCCAGCTCTGGACATGTGCCAGGTAGCGAGCGGTGGTGGAGACGCGTGCTACTTATTTGGGGAGTACGGAATCCACGTGTGGGACATCGCGGCAGGAGCACTTATTGTTAGGGAAGCCGGGGGAGTGGTTTTGGACACCACAGGTAGGAAGGAGCAGAATAACCTTCTCCATTGGTACTGCATATGCCAAAAACTAATAGAGAATCGGTAGCCAAGGGGCTACTTCAATGTGCTTAAGGTTAATGTGTTAGAGGAATAAAACAACTATTTATGTAAGTTTTCTCAATATCTCATCTAATTATTGTGAACCATAGAACATTGTCACTACAAAATTAAAAAAAAAACACAGTAAGAAATAAAACGGCTTGAAATGTTTCAAACTGAATCTAATCTCATTTTTTCACCTGCAGGAGGACCATTTGACATGATGTCCAGACGTGTCCTGTGTGCCAGTAGTGAGAAACTGGCCAGGACGATAGCAGAAGGGCTGACACAGATGGACTAATTCAATAGTCACCGTTTCGAGTTGCCCATATCTTGAAAAAAATCTTCACATTGTAGTATTGTTCTCAGCAAATCTGGCAACTTTATCATTTTAGTTAAAGGTGGATGTGATGTGTTTGCTGTGCATATTTAGACACTCAAGATACACGTTATTTCTTTCACTAGCATACACGTTTATCTGGGTTGGTAGATCACGTTATGGAACAATCAAACTGTTGTATCGAAAATGCCTACGTCGCCAATTTTTTTTAGTTGGAGAACAGCTTTATTGTTCCATGAAATACAGGTGTATTTAGATGCCATGACTAACATGACAAAGATACAGAAATTTAGATGTTATTGTATGTGTGTGAGGGTGTTTTTGTGGGTGTGTGGTTGTGTTTAAAGCGACTTTTAGTATATACAGTCTTGGAGTTGACAAATTGCTGATAGCGCGTAAAAGTTTGTAGTACGTGCCTTAGTTTCTACTAAGTTCCACATGTAAGTGTTGTGTGCGATACTGTAGCTATAACGTTACGTGCATACTGACATGCATGAGTCGTCAGTAGCTGATTTTCTAGATTTCCAAGATGTATAAAGAAGTAAGTGACAATATTATATATCTGAATCTGTGAATTAGAAAAAGTGAATGCTGAAAGTATTTTGTTGTGAATTCTGTGCCAGAGGAAAGATCGGCTATTGTTAGAAATCTATTGTACGCTCGTATCGGTACGTTTCACTATCAGGAGACATTTTGCTTCCTCGTGTTCTATTGTGTCTATGAAATTAATGTCTGTATGGATACATGTATATAACTTCAGTAAGCAAGGTTTGTAACCGGTTTGTAGAAATAAAACTTGACGGAACTTCCTTACATGTTGTTGTTACTATCCATTGTAGTTGGGGATAATGGGATAGTCTACGTACCCATAACAATAGAGCCATTGAACCACCACCGCTGCCCCCTCCGCACTCATCCCCGGCCGATACACACACAACTTGTTGACGTACGATTGTTGGTGATGATATACGTCATACGCCGGGACAACCAAAAGAGTACAAAATATCTATACAACATTGATCACAAAGATATGAAAGAATCGTTCTGAAACGTTCCGGGGCAGTTAGTGGCGAAAACTACACCATACAATGAATGAATGAATAAATACAATGCGACGAGAATGCTCGGTCAAACTTAGACTAAGTTGTGTTGACCGTTGACGTGCCCTAAATGAACTTTGGTTTGCTTGCATAGTTTGAAAGTCCATCGACCGTCGTGCAAAACGTTAATCATCGGCAAGTCGATTTACTTCGGATTCACGACTATCTTGCTGAATGTTTTGCATGGATAAGAGCTTATTGTGACTGTTCCACTGCCAGGTATGTGTTGTGTGCGAACTCTTGTGTAAGCGCCATGCGCGAGCAGTGGCACAGAATGACGTCGACATATCTATGTCTATGATAGAAAGACTTTGGAGGAAATTCGCTTGTAGTACTATTTCAGGACAACTAATCTAGTCGTGGTGGCAATTCCTTGCAATTTGGTGCATTTCCAAATTTCAGTTGGTTCATTGTTATAAACAGCAGAACATTTTTGAAGTGAAGTGAAGGGAAGTGTGAAATATGTGCATGTGATGTGCACAGCAACATTGTCATAAGAAGCAATTCTAGCCTGGATAAACGTTTTCGTCTCTCACAATATCGTATGTTCTGAATATTTCTGTGGTACGGTCCCAATTGTTTCTTCTGTAGTAATAGTTACTGTAGTAGTACTAGTATATAGTAGAAATATACTGTGTTACCCCTGTTCTGGCCGGTAGTTTGATCACGGGTCCAAAGGTTTGTGTCTTAACCGCGTGACATGTACAAAATGTACATACGGGTTCACACGGGGCAAACCCAGCCTGATATCTAGGGTCAATTTTGATACTACTTGGTTTGAATTTACCACTCTGTGTAACAAGCATTCTGAACTGTTAATGCCACATCTAAATACTGGATGTTTTATAGTAATTAATATAGTAATTAGCTGTTCAAGATTTTTATTTAGCTTGTGTTGAGTCCACACAGATTAGGACACCGTTACGATGAGTGCTGGAACGGCCGAGGAGGGTTCTGCATCAAAGGTAAAGTTGCACCCAAACTATGGAAAGTTGAATATTTCGTTCTTATTGAGTACTTTTGGCTGGAATCTTAGATATTAAAAAACGTTAAAAGTGTACAAGACACCTGATATCGCAGATCATAATCGTGTGAGGTATAAAAACCCTGCTTGTATATTTATATTCTGAACAGGTATCCGGTACTGACAATACCGGTTTCACGCCACCATCAGATGACACAGAGCTGCACACTGCAGTTAACTCTGGGGACGCTGATCACGTCAGAGTAAGTCACAAACTACACATATCTAAAAACCCCATCATTCTTTTACTTAGACGCACTACTACAGTCGGAGACTCTCAATAAAGGAGGTTTGACATATCTTTGTACATACAGTTCTTACTCTCACGAATCTTTCACTGCCTCATTGATTTTGTATTGTATGTAGGCTAATTTCGTTGTACCCACGTATCTGTCTGTATGTCTACATGTAGTTTAAGACCTTACGAAAGTCGCTTTACTTTTGCTGTAATGTGTCAATAAAGTTCTATGTGTATGTATTTGTGTAGACGCTGTTGAGTCAGCCAGGGGTTGATGTGAACGCACAGGGAGATGGGAACTTCACACCCTTACACCTGGCAGTCATTAACAACGATGCCTCTATAGTCAAACTTCTGGTAGGCCCGTAAGGCCATGTTGATTTGGATGACATCCTCGCGCGCATGAATTTGTCGGCCATTTCCAAAAAATGTTTTCAACCATACTGTAAATCGTAGAAGACAGTTGCAAAATGAGCAAATATATCCCGTAAGTTGACAAAAAAAATATTGGAAAATGATACCAATGTCGTAGAATGTAAAAATCAAACGAAAAAGATGAAAATGTAAAGAAATGAATTTGAAGAGTAGATTTTTCGCCATACCATACTGTCGTGTTAGTTGTTCAACAAACTTTTTTTTATTCGCACCAATGTGGAGTTTTGGGATTCCCTGAGGATGTTATCCATAAAATCAAATCAAGGTGGCCTAACTGTGGATACAGATTTCTGATACTTAATATATTTATGGTAATGACCCATGATTCAATGTTTTATTGATTTAATACTGATGTAGGTTCTATTTGTTTGTTTGTTTACTTGTTTTTTTATAAGTCAACGTTTTGACATGATGACGCTCTTTGGCAGTTGGACAAGGATGCGGATATCTACGCTGAAGATGCGGATCACATGTCCCCCTGGCGGCTTGCACAGGCAGCGCACTGCTCGCTGCAAATCCTCCAAATGGTCCTGAAAGCAGCAGCCGACCTTCAGGGTGACGCTGTGTACGTTTCATGATTCTGATACGTCTAATATCACAGTGGTGTAATGTATGTGTGTTATCTAAATGAAATACATTCACATTTTAGTTTCCGTGACGTCACATGCAAGGATGTTTTTCTATTCAAATAAAATTTATAAATCTTACGTGCAAACTTATCTACCCCTCCGCTCTCAGTAAGATTAGAATCAGTGCCCATCCCTTGGAAATAAAAAAAGGGCAATATATGAAAATCATTTCATCTCTAATTGTTCATTTTATAATGATGTGAGAAACCGAATTTTTTACCGTCGTGTCCAAAATGCACCCCATACTTTCCCACTACCCCCCACCAAGAGAAAACAGTTTTACTACTAAAATAAAAGAACCCGCATATCATACACAATGTGTGTAAATTCGTCTCCCACTGCCTCAAAAGAAGAAGTCAAACCAAACCAAACAAAACTAGTACATTGTGTACCACTTTCATTATCTATCTCTGTTGTTCCAGTGATTCCAGCCTGGGAGCGACCTCGCCCAGGAAGGCGGTCCGGGCGACAGACTGCGGCTGGGCGGTGATGGAGGTCGCAAAGAGCGGCGGCAGGCAGTCGGTGGAGAAGCTCAAAAGTCTTCTCGAAACCGGCGGAGACGTCAGCCTGTCTCAGCGGGACTCCCGCGGCAGGACAGTGATGCACCACGCGGTGGCGAACCCAGGCGCGCTGCAGTTTCTACTAGAGGTGAACAGGATCTTAGTTTTTTTCTTGAAAGTTCATGTGTGTTGGTAGAAGTCATTAGGAAAGAAGTTTGAACTGCAACATTCAACACAAGAATTTGGACTCACCCAAATTGTCGACTGTACAACTCCAGTCTTTTCAAGGAATGAGCAATCCACTGCTTTTGTGACGTCACGCAGATAACACATGTGACTCCGTGAGCAGTGGAACATACGTTGCAGAAAGTCTGTGGCGCCCCCCGTCTCTGTTAAGGATCTTAGTTTGACCGAACGAGAATAACTGAACTCTGCGCATAAAGCAATAATACAAGAGACTACAAGTAAAGCACAAATGTAGACAATCGGCATCACTAATTTACATGTGCATGTAAAGAAAAGTCACAAAAAGTCATATTGTAGTACTGCGTAGGTGTTTTGGTGACAGAAATTGATTTGTTACAACAGAGCGGGAAAACAACGGATCTACTGGAGGCTCCAGACGAAGACGGCTGCACTGCTCTTCATCTAGCCGCTGAAGGAGGCTTTACCGATGTACCGTCAGGTTTCCTCATTATTTCAACTTCAGCTGATGATATTATCCTGATAACATTTATCTAAAGAACATTTTCATATTAGTGTACATTTCAAGTCGACGTTTATGAGGATTCTGTTTTCGTGCCGTTTCAAATTTTGCAGAGTGTGTCCCTCCTCCTGGCAGCCGGAGCCAATCGCGAGGCCGCTGACAGGGTGGGACAGACAGCGCTGCACAAGTCGGCTGGGTACGTAAGATGGGGTTACGTGCACGTGTATATGAAGTCAATGCCATGACTAACATGGCTGCATGTAGGTCTGACATGATCGCCAACGATTAAATGGCGTGTACTTGCCATGTACACTTACTTTTGGGACTGTCTGCTCAATTCAATTCTTTATTATTATACATGTATCAACATTGCAGACATACATGTAATGTTGCCTGAATGACATTGATTTTTACAATATCAAAATAAACACATAACATTACATTGCGTTACATACATATATACGTACATATATACATACTTCTAATATGAACTGTACGTCGATATCCCATTCTGATTATACAGTCTGATTGTAGAGTCTGATGGACTGATGTAGGAAGTTCTGACGTCTTTTGAGGGTCGACTTCAAGTTTGTTGGTACTTTTCGTGGCTTCGCAGGAAATGCTACGGTTGTTGGTTGAAAATAGACATTGTCAGATTGGTATTTTAAGACTGATTGTACTTTTTTGGTGTCCATATCAGGAAGGGGCATGACAACGTCGTGGAAACCATTCTGTCGTTTGGAGGCACGACGGAGGACGACACCGGGGACACTGATGACGTCACAAGACGTCTCGTCAACGCCCTGGACAGACAGGGGAGGAAACCCCTCCACATGGGAGCGGAGAGGGGTCATGAGAAGATAGTCCGCTTCTTGTTGGAGAAGAACACGTCTATCAACAAGTAGGTCTATCAACATGTGTGCATTTTAATACAGGACAAAAGATACAAAAACTGGAAGCTCTGCTGCAGTACCAAGGTCAGCCACCAGGAGGCCCAAAATTGACCTTGACCTTTGTTGCCTACCCAACACCTACCCACGTACCAAATATCATTACAATCCATCCAAAGGTTCAAAAGTTATGCTGGTCGCAAATGTCCGGAAACACAAACATACAGACACACATACAGACACGCCAGAAACAATACCTCCACTTTTCATGGAGGTAATAATCTTTCTTATATCCATTTTATCACTGAAAAATGCAGAACCATAGACGGCCGAAGCCCGCTTCACCTGGCGACAGAGAGCGGCAGTGCAGAGACCGTCGAAACCCTGATTGCTGCTCACAGACAGTCCCTAACTTGGACAGACAAGCAAGGCGTAAGTCTCAGTCACATGGCTAGAAACGAAAAAAATCTCTTTGGATCTTTCTATTCTTGCTCCTTTTCCACTATCCGTGACACAAGTATCATGAAGGCATTTTTAGGAATGAATGGGATACACATGCACGTACACGATAGATACGTTTTCAAAAGGTTCGTCGAAGATCACCAAGGCACAGCTTCAAGCTGAGTTTTTTTCAAGGGATATCAAGGCTACTTTTCCCAAACTGTCTGTTGACATGTTCTAAATAGGATCTAGCATATAGGCGGCTCCAGATGTCTTACTGGGGTTTGCGTTGATGGACCAAAGACGTCAGTTAGCTAGAAAACCAGTCTATCAACATACTGATACCGTGTACTGATATTTTGCTGCCGCAAGGTTTATTATCACATGCATGGTTTATTTTCACATGTTTTCCGGCCCTACTTGACAGGACACGCCTCTGCACGCCGCTGCCAGGAGGAACCACGCCCACCTCATCCCCCTCCTCCTTAAAGAAAAGGAAGGTCTGGCCAGTAAGGAGAACGCCCAGGGGCTGAACGCCTTGGACGTCGCCATCGACGAACGGTCTAAAGACGCGGCGGCAGAGATGGGGAAGCACAAACTGTAAGTGCTGATGGTGCGTGAATGGGATTAATATAGGTTTTTAAGAGCTACATACTATATCTAGTACTGTGCTATGGTCATTATCTGGTGTTAATGACCTGCCCTGAGGTGTATACATTGTGTTATAAGGCATTACTATAACCACCGAGTTCAAGAAACTAAAAGTGGTGAGTATGGAGAATAATCGCCGGTGAATAAAAATAATGCCAGTAAATTGAGCCTTCTCAACGGTACACTTCATCTTGCACTAGCTATTTCAGCTTTCGTACTTCAATGCCAATTGGAATTCTTGAAATTTGTGGGTAACATTTAGTAGGCATACTGCTTAATTATGTGTGGTTTGAACGACGCATGAAAAAACAAAACAGTAAGAAAATTAAATTGTGGAACTGTTGACTGCTGTTTAATAGTAACTTGACTCTCACACGCCGTGTTTACCCATATAGGTGGGACACGTTCCTGACTTACCCACAAACGAAACGGGGAAAAGACCAGAAGCCCCAGATGTACCGGATGATCAAGGACATGCCTGATGCAGCTATGGTGAGATGTGGTCTACGTGTACCGTCAAAGTTTGTTCTCTCTCTTGCTTCGAAAGTAGCCATGACATGATGTCTTCCTACTATTGAAGTAATGAAGAAATATCAAACTATGCAATATGTGGCATGTATTAATTTCGGGTAATGTGTGTTTAACATAGTATCTGTATTCCAGAGCTTCATTGATCGCATGGTGGTCGAACACAAGGAGGATTCTGAAGACAACAGTGACGCGGGAAGGGTAGGTTTGTTGTCTTACGATCTTGGACTACTGACGAAATAGTTTCAGGCTATTTAATAGCGAATGCATTATCCGTACATAGCCAGATTGGAAACATTGCGATGAGGAAAATTCACATGACACACATGGTTTTCTCGATTTTCATCGTACCACAATAATCGATCGCATTATTTTGTACTTGTCAATGTTTTGCAGGTGTGGAAGTACGACTTCATGTACCTGTACACACGGGACCCGCGAGATTCTCCGTTAGAGGTGAGATACTGACCCCAGAAAAACACAGTATCCTCATTTCCTTATATACAACGAGAACATTAACTGACTTCATGCAGTTTACATGCAATAGATAAATGAGAAGCCTGTGCCCAACATTTAATAAAGGCTTCACCCTTTAGGCGTTGTCAACATTGATATACCAGGCTAGTTAAGTGTTTTTTTTATTTCGTACTATACAGGCTATGATCTGGTACAAGCGATGGCAGTGTCTGGAGCATCATGTGGTGGTGAAGTTTCTCAAGTGTAACTGGTAAGGCCACACCAAGTAAATTTTATGGATGACGTCCTTTGGAGACCCTAAATCTAATGCGAGAGGGCGAAAGAAAAACAAGAAGGGCCCTAAAAAACAAGATGCCTAGATTAGAAATATACTATGAGACGACAAATGTTAGGACACGAATTGAATGAGGTGACACAGTGTAACAAGCAAGAAGTCTTTTAGTCATCATCAAAACAGCAATAAATCAGGTGGAACCGTGGGCAGTGAAAACAGGATGGTAATAGACACTTTCTTCTACGGGTTTCACGTCAATCTGACGACTTGCGGCACTGTCGTGACTCTTTGGTCATAGTTACAGGAAGCGGAATTTCTAGTTTTTTTTTCTAGGAACAGGCCAAAATCAATGCGCGCGCGGACGTCATCCATAAAATTTACTTGGTGTGGCCTAAACATAACATACTCTACTGATTTACATAAATGAAATTAATATGCATAATCATGCAAAGATTGATCATAAAAATGATGGCATACAATCGGCGTGGCCTAAGCTTGCCAAATAATCCAGGTAAATGTAAATGGGGTAACTAATTCTAGCAGCTTGTCCCTTGAAAAGTTTGATTGTACGTTGCTGTATGACGTTTTACTACGGCTGTAGTAGACAGCTTATCAGTATGAAGTCCACTTTGTTCAGGCAGAGGTTTGGAGTGTACACCTTTATGGCCTACCTGCTGCTGTATATGATCTTCATGGCGATCCTCACGGCTACCGTGGCCATCGATGCGTCAGACACGACGTATTTCGAGACGCACCCTTCTCTGACGGTCACGTTCGACGGAACCTGTCACGTAAGTGTCTTCACCGTTGCCAGTGGTCACTGAACTAGAAAGGTAACATTTGCAAAGCAAATGCGTAATGTTCACCTTCGCATATGGTCTACTCTGTTAATTCGTACTCAAACACATATGGTGACAGGAATCTAAGTCCCTCCTGTTATAAAATTGCAACATGATATAACCCAACACTACTTACCATGGTGACAGACGTCTGGTTCAGGTCATTGACCATACTGGTTTGGAGAAGAAGAAGAAACTGAGCAACAACAAAACGTTTTCCTTCGGTAAACATGATAAGTTAAGCGTAGCTATAAACGCCAATGGTTTGAGTGACCAACGTTAAAGAAGAAAGTTTGTTTTTCAATTTCCTACTTTCTACAAATACTTAATACGAGTACCTAAATCATGGTTTATTCTCATTCCTACTTCTGACACAGATTGTCTGTTTCAATACGATCGCCGTCCTGCTGATGAGTATGGGATACATGGTCAAGGAAATGTATCAGATCTACCAGAAGGTTGGATACTACATTCGTATCACACCGATCTTACACAAATGTAGTAAAGATTGATTTTGTTTCTTTCCAAAAACCCAATAAAAGACAAGACAATTGTGTTGACTGCGTTAACAAGACTCTTATAAAGACTTTACCACAAACACAGTAAGGCATGACATGCCCGCACAGAAATAATGTCATTCTGGTGTGGTGTTGTATGGTGCATTCGTTATGCATACAACGGCGTCTGTCCAAGGTGCTGAACTGGTTATCAGCTAAGATGTCCTTCCATACTCAGCGGTTTGTTCACACAAGTCAGTACCAAGGACAGGTCTACCCATGTTACGGGTAGAAGAGTACATTGCATTGCCTATTTTAGTGTGCGAAGGAGAAACAGGCTTGGAGTCACATTTCCTGTATTGTTTATTTATCCCGAAATGACCATCTCTAATGAAACCGCTTCTCCATTTTTTTCTCAGAGACTGCACTACCTAGGCTGGAGGAACGTTCTCCAGTGGGTCCTGTACCTGAGCGCCTTCCTGTACAGCCTCCCCGTGTCCACTCCGCTGGACAGCTGGAAGACCGAGGCAGCCACGGTCGCTACCATGTTCGGTTGGCTCAACTTCGCCATGTATCTTCAAAGGTACATGATTCAGCAATAAATTTAGTTGTTGGATCTTACCCACATTTGACGAAATTGTGAAGACCACGCGAATACAGGTATGGTGTATGAGGTCGTGTGGCGTAACGGCAGAGCGTGCGGATCGGAACCAAGAGGTCCCGGGTTCAAGCCCTGCCATGTCACCGACCTTGTGCCCTTGGGAAAGGCATTAGCCACAAGAAAAGGCAGCAGAATCAGCTAGTTGAAGATATTTCCCTCAAAATGAAAGAAGAAAGGAAGAAGAAAAAGAAGAACACAGTGCACATACGAGTTTCAGTAGCGAAAAAGTCACACAACAAAAGTAACAAAACCTGTTCTACCGTCCTAAAAGTTTGCATCTGATGAAGTTTACGTACCACTTTGTATATATTATTCTACAAGGGTGCCAGTGTTTGAGACCGATGTGTACATCTACATCCTGCTGATCGGGAGGATCTTTAAGTCCCTGCGGAGGGTGATCCTGGTGTTCCTGTTGTACACGCTGGCCTTCGCCACGTGCTTCTACTACGTCGCCTCGAAGGCTGACCTGCCAGACTCCACGGTAAGTATTTTTTGTGGTCCACATACGACTTTGACTTTTTAACGCAACTTGGACGATTGCTTCTTAAAGAATTCCCGAAGTGCAAGCTAGTCTAAGCTGACGCGATATGCTTGAATTTAGCGTGTGATGTCAAGAGGACATCATGTATTTTTTTAGGCCATGACCTAGGCCTCTCGGTATCACAGCCACCTGGTTAGCATGGAATAAGATCAACCACCACAGCGTAAACAGTGTTTAAACGCGTGCTGATTATGTTTACCGAAGGAAAACATATTGTTTTTGCTCTGTTTCTTTTTCTTCTGCCAAATAAGGTCAATGACCTGAACCAGACGTCTGTCACCACTGGTAACTAGTGTTGGGTTACATCATGTTGCAATTTTATAGCAGGAGGGATTTAGACACATGTCACCATATATATGAATATGTTTGAGTAAGAATTAACAGAGAAGACCATATGCGAAGGTAAACATTACGCATTTGCTTTGCAAATGTTACATTTCTAGTTAGTATGCTGTATTCCCGTGGAAGGAGGCACACATGTTGTTCAACATCTCTCTTGGTGCCCGTTTTATCGTGACACTACGAAAATGTCGTCAAAGATGATAACTCCTCAAACGTTTTCCTTGGTTTAGGCTGCTGGTTTCTCCGGGTTTACCTCCTTCTCTCACTCGTTCTTCACGACCCTGGGGATGGTGATGGGAGAACTCAACATCCAGTTCTTCCTGGACAGACAGAAGCACTCCGGAGTCACCCGGGTCCTCATCGTCTTCTTCATCTTCCTCATGAACATTGTCATCGTCAATCTTCTGGTAAGATAATGTCACAAATCTACATCAAATTGATACAACATTCTGCACGAACAAGAATGCGAAAATGAAAGGGGTGCTAGTGTAACGAAAATAAAAAGACACTGCTACAATGTCGCTGGAAGACAGACGAAAAATGTCCAGACTATGCGCGATGTACAAAATGACTAATATTAATGAACTGGTGGATGTATCAACCAATAACTATCTGATACCAGCCCAGAAATGAACAAGAAAAATCATTCCCCGACTTTTTCTATATTTTAGATCGCCTTGACTTTGGACGCTGTAGACATCCGTGACGTCAGAGCCAGAGCTGCATTCAATCGGCGAATCCACCAGGTTATATTTTTAAGTCCTGACTGGTAGAATATGCCTTCATTCCTAGTTAGCCCCGATCGGTTTTGAATTAATCAATTGCTCAACATTTGCCGAAGACTGTCGGAGAGACGTTTATGCAGTCATATTTTGATATATCAATTTCTTTAACCGTGCGCAAAATCTAATACTGCCTTTCGTAGTTTAATACTCCGTGACCCGTGTTAAGTGTATTAAAATAAGACTGAAACTAAACGGAAAATATATAAACTACCACCAGTTGACACACAGCAAGAAAACGATTTCCTTGCAAATTGTATAAATATTCAGACACTTAACACAATACATTTGTACCACCTCCAGGCAGAACACATGCTGGACAAGGCGTCCGGGTTCTGGTCAGCCTTTGCTGACCGCGCCAGAGTGCTGACATGGATGGACACCAACCAACCCTCCTGTATGGACAAGGTAATGCTTGGACAAATAAGCGGGGCAGGGTGTGCTTTAGCTATAGGATTATAAGGGCATCCATTGTTTGCAGGTCATGCAGTATATTCAAACGTTCTAGCATAACTTTTTGTAAAAGAATGTATATAAATAGATTTAGATAACCCCCCAAATTTTTACCAATGAGAAACACGATAGCACTGAGCCTTGGGGGCTGGGTAAAATTGCCAGTACGTGGCCAGACCGCATATCATGTAACGTAACATGTAACGCTTTTTCTTTCCTCAGACGAGACAGTTTTTGGACATAGCCGATGATGAAGGACAGATGGAAGGAATTGAGCAAAGGTAATACTAAATGTGGATTGTCCTTTGTATGATAGTGAAAGAATCATTCTTTTCGATTATGTGTTTAAATTTTCTCATTTTAGGTATTTCAATAGTATAGGAATTTTATATTCTTTACAGTCTATAACTAATTATACAGCCACCTACATTTATACAATTACCACGAAGCGACAGTACATGTGTATACTGGACGTTTGTATATACATCCAGATACTAGTACATTGTATATGATTGTTAACATGTGACCTTTGCTTCATTCTCTAACTTTATGCTATGAATGTATTCAAACATGAGAAACATGCTGACAAAGAAAATAAAACACACAACACATGAATATATTATGTATATTCATACCCTTATGAAATGTAGAGTTGTTTTTATCGCTAAATTAACATCTCTTTGATATTGCAATGTATTCCAAAGCCCCTCGGGAGAACAAGAGGACGTCCGGCGGAGGTTGGAGGACTTGGAGGCCGCTCTGAAGGCCGTCTCAGTACAGCTGACGTCTATGGGGGAGATGCTGGCCCAGCAGACTAAAGCGCCACCTGTTGTAAAGTCTGAGTAGTGCACGAAATAGTGAGAGATACTAGTACATGTGTAGTGTAGTTAAAAGTAGCACACGTCAAAAATCAACACAGGAAATAGATTTATTTCTAGTACAGGGGTGCCAGAGTATACAGTACAATTTTACGGAATACAGTACAATCGTATTATACACGGTGCAATTTTGCGGAATACAGTGCAATCGTATTAGTACAGTCCTAGTGCAGTTTTACTAGTAAAAATTGCACTGTATACTAGTAAAATTGCACTGTATACTAATACGATTGCACTGTATTCCGTAAAATTGCACTGTATACTAATACCATTGTACTGTATTCCGTAAAATTGCACTGTATACTAATAAAATTGCACTGTATTCCGTAAAATTGCACTGTATACTCTGGCACCCCTGTAGTAGTTTACCCTGGCCTGGCAGAAAAGGACCCCCTAACCACACTGATTACTATGTTAGCATACATGATTTGGGTTGCGTTTAAAATGTTGGAAATCCGAATAACCAAAACGTCTAATGTATTATGGTGCAGTTTTGACCGTGGCGTCTAGGGGGCACAAATCTGAACATGTTTGCGTAGGTAAGCTTACCTGTCTGCTGTTTTGCTGTTTTATAAACGTTCATTTTGTGTTAAAATTAAGAAATGACGATTGTATGACAGATTTCTATTGGAAGTAGAATTTTCCGGATGTATTTCTACTTAAGAAGGACGAAACGAACATCTGTTTTATTCAACATTGCCTAGACTTTGACAGAAAACGCGAGATGTATCATTTGTAAAACTATTAATAAATGTATCATTAGATCAATAAAAATCAATAAAAACGTCAGCAAATCCGTGAAACAATAATCAGTAGATGTTGTTTTCGTAAACGCCTTCCTTTATTTCTCTGATTACAGCATTTATTATTTTACAATCACGTCATGTGCATATTTGATGCACATGACGTCGTGTATATCCTTTCATTTTTCTTAGTTTACACACACAAAAATGCACAAGGTACATCTCAAGTTGTGCTGTGCGCCCACAACACACACAAAAGGCGGGGACATTTCCTTTCATTCTTTTGTATCGAGCACGTGCGGGGGAAAGGGCACAGCGTCACTGTCTAGACCATTAACCCGACCCGCGTACCCATAAACGTGAACGTGTGACTAGTAATATCGAACTCTGAGTTTGCCCCGCCCACTTCCAGGTACTAGTAAACAACCGAAGGGAGAGCGTATGTGTCATGACGTAATTTTAGCTCCGCCCACTACCAGGCATCAACCAATGGGAGACCGTAGAGTATAATAATATTAACACAGTCAGTGGTTTTGACTATATTAAACTCAGACTTGCACAGCAAGAGTCTCCATAAGTCAGCCACGGTAGAGAGGGGTTTTAGGGGAGCTTTTGTATGTTCTGTTCGTCAGAGTTGATTTAAATTTTCCCCGGAAGCTGGACGCTATGACGGCCCCCTGGCACCACCCGGGGATCACTAAGGACCAGGCGGAGGGGCTGCTCGTGGCCGCGGGCATGCAGACGGGCAGCTTCCTGGTGAGAGACAGCGAGAAAAGGGAGGGGGCCTACGCACTGTGCATTTGGTAAGTCATCAGTCTGTGTGCAGTTATTGACCCCCTAGCATCGACTCCTCTTATATAAACATGTAACGTTTACTATATCATATCGCGGGAATGTCAATGTAAAAGTTTATCCCACTGCATAACGATTCTATAACCTGCGCAACAGAAACAAAGCATTCAAAGTAGGGTTTCAGGTCACTTCCGGGTTGAGTCAGGAACTCAGCTCTAGAAATTCTGATAGAGGAGGAAAATTTTGATACTCCAGACATTCATGTAGTCACGTTGGAGACTAGACACTCCTTTAGTTGGCATTTTGTGGGCCCTGCCCTGGGTAGAATATTGTCATTGTTTTGTAGACAATTCAACTTTCAAGGAGGTCATTGGACTCAGAGCTCTTTGAGTACACGTGATATATATTCATAATTACAACCCACATAACTGTTACACTCTAATTATTTGCATGTAAGGGATTAGATGCAGTAAAAGTATACATATTTGGACATTGTAAAATGGGCTATAAAATTATTTTAATTTGTATTTACATTCCTGCTAGCACAGTAAACAGCATATGAACTCTAGAATGTTGATAGATTGTTGTTATGATATTTGGTTGTGGGTAGGTGTCAACAACAGAAGGGAATTTTAAGTTTGATCATGGGCCTCCTAGTCACTTCATATTGATACTGCAGTAGAACTTCTCGTATCTCGAGTTTGCATGATCATGATTTAATGTCAATATGCAAATTAGGTACATTTCCATAGTTAATGAGATGATAATACTAGTAGTTTGCATGGAGCTGTTTTTGTATGTATGTGTGTGTGTGTGTGTGTGTGTCTGTGTATGTTCACATGTACATGCAAATGCCTTATGAAAGTTGCTGTACTTTTGTTGTGTCAATAAAGTTCTGTTATGTCAATAGGCTAGCCTGGTGACCAAACCTACTTAGTACTTTAGCTTCCAAGCCTCATTAGTTCTCTCCATAAGTAAGGAAAGAGACTCGGCAGCTAAAAAAGGCTTTCAACAGACATAATAAATAATAATCTTAGCCTCATCCCAATTCTATATTCATCCAAGAAAATGACAACAGACAGAGGATTCTTGACAGGTTATAACAGGTTTTTTGATCTTTGAACCAAATTGTTGTTTGGTGATCATGTGATGACCTTTATCTCACCTTCCCAGGGACGAAGGTCGTGTGAGGCAGTACCGTATCCTGCCAACGGGCAATGGTTATTTGCAGATCCAGGTGAGACACACCTCTTCTTATCAAGTTTAACCACATTAATGTTTGGGTTGGTGGAAAAAGCAGTCCGGTCCGATTGGCGGAAAAAGCAGTTCAGTCCGATTTGGGGGTGGAAAAAGCAGTCAACGCCCCCTAATTACAAATATCTGCCACGCCGTCTATTATTGTTTATGTTAAGTATTGCTCGCATTCACACAGTTGTCTGCATTTGCATAGCTGTATCCAATGAGCGCACTTCACGCCATGACATGCGGTAACACATCAGCCATGACATGTGGTGCACTTTTATCATATTTCACAAGGGGGCGCTACTATATGCTACAACAGGACTGCTTTTTCCACTCCCCAATTGGACGACGCTTTTTCCGCCGATCTGACTGGACTGCTTTTTCCACCAACCCATTAATGTTTGGGTTATAAACAAATTGAGCCATGGTTCTTTTATATAATTTTATCATCTCAATCTGACCATATGAATGATATGAAAATACCAGCTTAGAGTCAATGCCATCAATTATTTCAGGCATCTGGACAGAACATCGAAAGAGTTAAACATTGAAACAGAAAACTGTTAAATGGTACTTTCAAAGAGGTTATACCTCATTGGTACTTTCGAGTGAGTACAGTATTGCAGCGGCCACAATATTGTCACATTATTGGCCATGTGGTCACTTGTACAGGTTTGACAGTGCTGACTTCCATTTTACCCCAACTGTTGCAGGGTCATGCCAACAGACAGTACCCCAGTCTGATGGACCTGATGGAGTCCTACAGAACAGACCCCCAGGGTCTGGCCTGCCCTCTCCTGTATCCGGTTAAAACCGGCCAGGAGGCAAGCAGACCAGCTGGAAGGTCGCCAAATCCAGTCATCAAGCAACCACCCAACATCAGAAAAGGTGCTAATTTGAATAACTAATTTATTTTATTGCAAATACTGTTTAATAGACGTCTCATCTCTGCTACTCAAACTCTGGAGCCACAAGTGTGGTCTAGATAGATACAAGAGTTTATAGCAAATATGCCTGAGGGCTAATTGCAAGTACAAACAGCACTTTCTTATCCCATTGTACATTTCATACAGGTGATGATGATTCCACAATGTACTTCCCAATCATCATCATTCCCACCCGAGGCTCTGAACAGTGTGGTCTTGAAGGCCGATTTGTTCTCAAAGTCTCTGCCATTGGTCTGTCGTTGCTTGATCCGAGCACCGACCACGTCCTGTACCTGTGGCCCTTCCGACACATTCGCAGGTACGGACGCAACGCGGGCGCTTTTCTGTTCGAGTGTGGGAGAAAATGTGGGTCTGGGGAGGGGGACTTTGCTTTCCGCACCCCCTGCCCTAACGACGTGTTCCACGCCGCGGATAACCTGCGGAAGAAAGTGTTTCTGATGAGGACAACTGTCACGGTGAGCCCTACCGAGGCGGCGAAGCGCTGTAAGCTCAAGGGCGAGTACACGCTTCAGGTGTGCTCCGAGGGCATCGTCCTCCTGAACTGTGTCACAGAACAGCTTCTGTATGATTGGCCGTACATAATGATCCGTCGGTATGGGCGGAGTAAAACAGACTTCACCATAGAAGCTGGCAGTAGGTGTGCGTCAGGGGAGGGCACGTTCACCTTCAAGTCCAGTGTACCAGAGGAAATCTTCCAGCACGTGGACCACGTGAGAGCCCACCTGTCGCGGGCGAGGGGCAACGAGGCTACGACTCATGCGCCCAAGGCCAGGGTAAATTGAGTTTTAAAAAAGTCTTTGAGATTGAAATCTTAAAAGGCCACACCAATTTGATCAGTTGGTTTTGGGATTTACGATAGAATATGAAGCAACAAAAAAAATTAAAGACCATTTTGTGATAGACTGTCTTAAATGTAGAGCTAGTACCAACTTGTATTAAAAAAGAGGAATAGTATTCATGTGCACTTAGTTTAAAAATGCTTTATTTATCACAATGTTTTAAATAATGACTATTTGATGCATGTACTGAATTTTTTCCCATTGAATTTCCATATTAGCAGCCAACAAGCCTCTACCAGGCATCAAAAGTGACTGGGACGAGTAGCTAGAAATTGGCCAAATAGACAGATTACACGGTAGAGCTGCAAATGTACTCCTTTTGTCTGTTTGGCCAATTTCTACTGTTTCCAGCCACTTTGAAAGCCTGGCAGAGGCTTGTACATGTAGCGAACAACTTAGGGCATCTTCCAGAATGTTTGCTATCAAAACTAACCCATCTCCGACTGTTTTTACAGAGTAATGAGTATGTGGATGTTCCGGGGATAACCTACGCAGAGTTGGCCAGCTTTGGCTCCCAGCCCAGGGCTGTTGGTGCATCGCGTACCCAGGGGCTGTCCTACGCAGACCAACCTACAGAGTACTCCACTATTGTATTTGACTAGAACATCGTTTCACACAATTTTGTATACTGTAATTCACTTTATGTTCACTGAGAAAAATGGACATGTTCACAGAACTATATATTCACGGTGGCGACAGGTGCAGGAAAAGGAAAGTATTTGTTAACTGTAATGATAAGTTCACGGTACAGAAGTGACAGTGAAAACAGTGAACATAACAGTACAGTGAATAAATCAGGATTTACAGTATTCATTAATCAAATATCAAGGACTTCTGTGCAATCAGAGAATAGTTGTTGCTATCACCAAGTGTCTAAGTATTGATACATTTTTGAAACTTACACATAATAGTTATATTATTACTAGAATTTTGTATTTTTACTCCAGACAAAAAGTTGCAATTCAACAAATAATCAAATTAGATGTAGGATGACAAACACAAAATTGCACAAATTTGCGCAAACATGTTTTTGAAATGATAAATATGATTGCACCTAAAAAACAAAACATTGGTAATGTCAGTATGTTGATAGTTTGTGCTGTCAAAGCTTATTCTGTGACATTTAACACCTATTTGGTACCATAAAGGAGTTTTTACTTTGAAGTTTACTTTTAGGAGGCTTTACATACGCAAGTATCTACATATAATATGCATAGTATTAAACATGTGACTGTGTTTCTTATTACATGACCCAAGGCTGTTTTAGCCAAGAATTGATCAGTTTTGTACAATGTGTATTGTTGCATTTCCACAGCAGATTTGATGCTGTACTCTAATGACAACAAGAGGTCTATTTCACTTTCATCATGAGTCATAACTGTGTATTGGTGATCTTTGACATTGAACATGCATCTACAACAATGTAGTTGGCAAATGCAAATTCTCTACACCAAATGTTGAAGTTGGGTGCAGTAGAATTGAATTTTGTCCAGATTACAGATTTCTGTAAATTTTAGTCAAGTTTTCTCAAATACTGCAAGGCTCTTCCACTTTTCTCTTTATAGCCTTGCACATGCATCCTCTCCCTATATGCAATTTTTGAATGTAATAACCCTCAAATGCATAGTGCTTATGCCTGTACATGTTGAAGACATGGCTTACAAGTATATATACAGTATCTGTATGTTGAAATATAAACTTTTATGTCCATTAAAATGGGGAACCATCTTGAATTGTCTGAATCCCTGTCTATCAATGACTTTCTTTGTTTGCAACAATTCTTTGTACTCTCCAAGCAGAGGTTTGGGTTTTTAAAAAGAAAGACTGATAAAAAATCTAAAAACACATAAGTCAAAACCCCAAACCTCTGCGTGGAGAGTAAATTCTTTGCTTTTAATTGAAGAAGCTAAGTCAACTTAGTTGTTTTCACTGATACCTTCATTCAAAATTGCTGTTTAGGAAAGTAAATATCTTATTTGCAAGCGCTGTCCGTCTCCGGCAAGTAAACTTCAAAAGCGGTGGATAGATAGAACCCGCCGGGAAAGGGCGTCAGGCCCTGGACCCATGTCTCTGTGTCAGTTATGTAACTGGCGGTGTCCTCATGGTTTAAGACATAGATAACTCCGTCTTTGACCCCGCATCCTTTGTCGTAAGAGATGGATTCAGTCGCTGGATGTTCTTCAAGCATGAACCACTGCTTCGTGCTGACGTCGTAGCAGTCTACTCCGGGAACGTGCCCACCTAAGATGTAGACTACGTCATTCACGCAGGCCATGCAATGACGGTCTCGTTCCCTAGGTAACTCTGACACAACCTCCCACTCGTCCCACACCGGGCTGTATTTTAACAGAGAGAACGTGGACGTGTCAAAGTCCTCAGAACTGATGTAGATCTCGTCTTTACAGACCACCGCCATCCCGTAGTCGGTCGCAAAGTTAGGGAGCGGTTCTAGAAACGTCCACTTGTCCTGCAAAGGGTCGTAACGCTCTACACTCTGTACTCCGTAGTCAAAGTGGAAGCCACCGATGGCGTAAAGTCGTCCCTTGTATTCGACGAAGCCGAAGAAAGCCCTAGCCTCGCCCATGGAGCACACTTCGGCCCATTCAGCAGTGAGTGGGTTGTAGGTGTAGACGGTGATTTGAGGGTCCCCCAGACCTGAAGCATGCCCGGAGCGAGGCTTGCCGTGCCCGCCTGCGATGTAGATGTAGTTGTGTATAGTGGCCACGGAGAAACCTCGACTGGGGATGTCGTCAGGTTTACAGGCAAACGTGCTCCAGCTATCCTGCGCATAGGGAACCGATACAAGCAAACTTTTACATCACTGAGCAAAGTCAATAAGGAAAAGCGTTTTTTTTATTAATTGCTGGCTTTGGTATCCTAAAAAGGATGCTAAGAGTGAATGAATCTATGACGACGCTATCTATGTACTTGGCAGCTATAGGGTGACATGTATTCATTAAACTTTTATCATTGACTTAACTTGTGACTTAGCAACAGCACACATATTTGACATATAACGGAGACAATGGGAGCATAGAAAATCCAGCCTTACCTTATTCTCGTCGTACTTCATAAGCTCTCTAGGCCCTGGCTCTGGCCAGAACACGTATCCGTTGTTGACGGCTCCAAGATACTTCCGATGTTTAAATCTCTCCCGCAGTACCTCTTCCTGCTGTTCCGGTAGCAGCCGCTTGAAGTCCTCAGTGCGCAGGAACTTGTAATAGTTTCTACTGATGATGTCTCCCGCCACTTCCTTGAGCTCTATGGCATTGTAAGCGTCGGCAAGGATGTACAGGTGTATGCAGTTTCCCTTATTCACCTTTCCCTTCATATACTGTAGCAATGGGTGGACTTGGAGGAAGTTAGCCAACTCTAGAATGTAGTCTAAATTCTCGTCTATAATGACTGGCTCGGGGGAGTAGAGAAAGTCTAGAATGATTTCAAAAGCGTCGGCGTCGAAGCCCTGAAGATCGACGTAGTTTTCGAGGCTCTCTCTCATGCCGCACTCCAACATGGCGTCGAAGTAGCCACAGGTATGAATGAGGACGACCTTGTGCACGCGGAAGGTGCGTGATTCGACCTTGACCTCAAGGTCAGGGTCACCGTGAACGACGTGCCCGTACGTGACTTCGTTGCTTCCGCGCCTGCGCAAGTACCTTTGGGACTTTGTCGCCATGCCGACGTAAGACTTTTCCTCGAAAACAAAAAACGTCAGATCTTCGTTGAAGCGATTCTTAAGAGCTTCGTAGTTTTCTTAGGTAAATTTGGTTTGCTTCAATGACATCTCATGAAAGAACTAAAGTAAAACCATGCCTGGAATTTGAAGCCAAGTACTTGAAACTTTTCTGAGGCTCGTCGCTAGTCGATTTCTTAACGTAGACGCCAGTTGCCCACAGGGTTGTCTTTCTGAAAAGAAATACAATCATTATGATGCAAGTCTCCATGTAGTTCCCTTGGTCAATAATATTTGGCGCGTGTACGTATTCTGCCAATGTCGGATCAAAGATGGGGTTAGCCTTGTTAACCGTGGTTAGTACGCCAGCATGAGAGAGAGCGAACAAAGTCATGAAGATGATACCCCGGCTCATAAGTTTTCATAATAGCCATAACTTAGGAAGTGAGAGGAAGTTGAAGTTATACATATGAGTAAACGTTAACCATTGTAGATGTAGTAAGATATAACACTATTACGTACTCTTATACCACTGTAAGTTGCAAAGCTTAAGCTTTATCACTATTTCCTGTACCTATCTTGTTTTGTTTGTTTGTTTGTTTGTTTGTTTGTTTGTTTGTTTCAAGCATTTAATTTATTCATGAGAAGCTTATAGCAGCAGTGCTAGCCCTTGTTGTTGTTGGAGTAATTAGGATCTATATTAGGTCTTCTATACTTTTTTTTTACTTTGCCATACATTGTACCATGTGCAATTGTCATGCAATTAAGTTCTTCTACAATATAAGTCTTTCATTCTTAATATTCTCATCAATTCAGTGCGCTGGTCTAAGTGTCAATGTACTGGTTACAGAAAAAACGTCCAGTAAGGCTTTCCTCTGCAGCTGTCTGCTCTACACTTGTAACACGACTCCTGGCTTCCGTAAATAGTAGGTTCTACAATATGTTATGTCATGTCGAGACTTGTTTACACAGGATAGCGTTTGTTAGAACGACTTACTTTCGTTTGAGGGAGCTCTGGAATGTCAATTCTGTCAAGCTGGGAGTTAATTTGTGGACGGGAAGGACAACATCTGGAACGGAAAATGTAAAAATCCACTCTGATCATGAGCTGTATCAATCGAGCTATGTCTATGAACATGCATTTATTTACAATACAAGGATCCTTCAATGAACGTTTCTGTTCAATGACTGCAGTGCTACTGCTTAAAATGATATTTCATCCAAGGTATGGTGTAAAAACTTGATTTTGTAGAGGTATTATTTGAGACTGTGTCAAGCTAGGTAGATATAGGGTTCTTCCAAGATGTACGTGTAAATATTTGTACAGGGGGCAGGCAATTCCTTATCCGCAGTCAACGTTAAACCACATGCTTATACATTCGTATCAATGTTTAAATATCTAGCCTCCATACTGGCATGCCAAAAACTGGGGTTTGGGGGTCTTTAGGGTCTTTGGGAGCTTTTATGTGCTATTTTCTGATTGCATATAGACAACATAGCCGGCCTGATTGAATTGGAACTGGGCTAATCAGAAAACAGCCGAAGACCACCAAATCCCCAGTTCAATAAGCCTGCTACGGAGGCTATTAAATATCCGTGTTGGGGCACTGTATAGTTGGTTTGTGCTCACAGAGCGACCAAAGTAGACTTCTAACCATGTCGTCCATTACAAGATATTCGTTAAAATTGAACAAGACAGTTTATATATATGGACGTACCTAATGGTGACTTGGCCCCGGGGTTTCTTTCTGCATTGCAGGCCGTCGATTGATACGTGAGCTTTATTGGGACCACCAGGAATGTGACGCAGGGCTACAGGCATCTCTCACCAGCGCCACATAGCGATACTATGTAGTCTTGCATGTAAGACTGTTTGGGTATACGTACTAGTAAGTTGACTGGCTTCACTTGAAGAGCTCGGTCAACAAAAAACTGTAGCTTATTTCTGGGCCAATATCAAGTTTCTACAAGATCTTTACCCTAAACTAAAAAATATAAATTACCATATAGACATCGACATCAGACCATTAGTTTAGATGCCATTGTATATATACATAAAATATAAACAGAAATTCTCTAACGATTGGAGAAAAAAATGTTGTTTTATGAAGCTGAGCGGAGCGAAATAAATTGACAGACACCAAATCTGATGCGATAGGGCAAAAAAAAGGAGCCCCCCCCCAAAAAGAGTTTTAAAATTCTGTATTTGCAAATTTTGAGATCATTCACCTTGTTAAACAAGAATTTGATTCAGAAGCAACATCACATATAAAGGAATTAAATACATCACTGCAACAAAGTAATGATAAAAGACAAAACAATAAATAAATCAGAGCCTTGTCATGTCTCCTCTTTTCATATATATATGTCATCCAAGTTTCAGCATGAAAACAGACATATTTGCCAATTTTCGGCATGTTTACCACTGTCAAAGGGAAAAAAATCCGAAATAAGGTGAAATGTAATGCGCGTGTTGATGTCATCCATAAAAATTACTTGCTGCGGCCTAATGCACATTCTTTGATAAAGAAAATGAGCCTTAAAGCACTGCTTAAAAATGACTGGCAAAAAACATTTGTGTTTCCTGAGATGAAAAGTACTATTTACGAATTTGTAAAGGAAGCGTAAAAGTATTAATTGTATTTACGTCGTATTTAAGCACACTGAAAGGTGACGGAAAGGCGGAATTTGCCCTTCAGCGGCCTTTACGAAGTCGTTAAGTCTACTGAAATATTTCCCCACCTTTAATAATTCTTTACGTATTGCGTAAAGTTTGCTTAAATATTGGTTTTCGTGCTGTGAGTACTGCGAGTCTCCACAGGCATCAGCACGACAAGAACTCTATCAACCAGCCCCCGATTGGCCTCTCCAAGCAAGTCGTTTGCGAAGACCCTGACATGGCAAATTGACGGCAAACTATGGACAGGGCATCCCGATAGTAGTTTGTCTGGCGGGCATGCGCATGTTCTACATACACATGATGGTGACCTCCTTGCACTTAATTACAACCTCTGGGTGTGTCAGCGGGCCGTAATGGGACCCGGCCTGCCTCCAGTCGACTCAGATACAATCGTGGCCCGGAGCGGGCCATTCTGTATGGGGAGGCCATGTTTTTTGTCTTCCCACTTCCTGACGTCCTTATACCTCTGTGATGTGTTATTGCAGCAGAGAGAGAAGTTGTAAAACAACGCTGACGTTTTGGCGTGCATTTTTGTAACGTTACTGTATGTGAATAAGTAGGGGGGAAAAGTACTCATATTAGGCCATGTTAACACTGTTGAATGCTTCAATATTTCGTAGATCCGGATTCAAAGCCATATAGAAGTTGTTGATGATTGATAATTCCCTTTTTTTAGCAGCTTAAGGTGTAAGAAGGCAGTGTTTTCAGTACAATTGACCATATAACCACTAACGAATGTGTGGATTTGTCGCTTGAAGGAAGGAAGGAAAGAAGGGAGGAAGGATGGATTGATGGAGACCTAGCGTCAGGATAGGATGATAACGCGTAGCTTCAATTGAAAATGAACCAGTCATAATTGCCTTGATGAAGATGAAAGACGGCCATCAAAACGTGGGCTCTTGTAAACAAGTGGTTGTGAATAAAGATTTAAGTATTCATCAATCTGATGAAATCATTCAAATATATGGACGGAAGTTTGCTACATTGTATTATTATTCCCCGTTGTTGCAGATGACACACTACTCCTACAAGTCCTTTAACATGTCCCACAAGACGTATAGCCCATGCTGGGGATGGTTGAGAGACGTGTCAGTGGGCATCCGTACAATGTGACAGTTTTCCTTTTTATGAGAGGTAAAGTCTTTAGATTTGAGCCCCGAACATAACGCGGTAACGGGTGTGTGGTGCCCTCCGACCTCCACAACAATCCGTGCCTCTCATACAGACATAAGCCCGCTATTCACCGCCGACAGATCAACCGAGTAATGTCTTTTAGCATTATAGGGTCTTCAAACCGGGGTAAGATATATTAATGTCAAGTTTGGAGAAATAATGACTGACACATAAATAGCTTTGCTATCAGCAGCTGCAGTTCAAGGATGGGGCTCTAGAGGGTGCGTGAGGAATGAATAAAGAATTGTGATATTTTGAGGCCTATTTTAGTCACCAGGAGACCATCCGGGATGTGTATTCCACGAAATACAGTTCTGAGTGATAAAGAACGATAAATCATTAGGTTATATACCCCAACACCGTCTCATGTAACGAGAAGAAATAAATATACGTGTGCTACTTAGATGTTAACAAAGAGGTCTACACTACAGGAGCTATTTTTTTGCTGTGAAGTATGTTCACTTCACGCACATGCACCCCAAACGTTTCTACTCGATATGTCATATGAACATCACAATGTACGTCAGATGTCATAGCCCACAGAGAAGCAGATTTTTGTTATTCTAATGTCACGCTTCAGCTAGCTTTACAGACTTTGATCAGCACTTCACACGTCTCTGCCTCTTGATTCGAAGCAAAGGCCTACTGTATATGATAAGCTAAGCTTAATTCAATACGAATGTCTTGCTACTGAAAATTCGTTTTTTATAGCCCCTTGTACGTAAATCACATTCGTGTTAACCCAATTAAATCCCAACAGCCAACCACATTCGTGATTTACCCTGGTTTGTATTTAGGGTCCGGTCATGTTTAGACGTACGTACGATCGCAGTACGATCGCAACATGAACTGAGAACAGTCTTGGGAGTGGGTATGTCGAACAAAACGAAACTCTTATTACAGACGAGGCCGGTCTTGGATCAGTCTCGTCGGCGGTTAGTTCTGTCACAACCTGTTTGAAAATTAGACATCAACATCTTCGGACGGTCAATGACCGGAATGTGACCGCGCGTTGTACTTGTTTTTCTAAACTTTTATTTGTGTTATCGATGCAGCTGTTTCTGTGCCTGTAAGATTTTGGAGACATGCTCGCCGTTGAACGTAACATTAACAGTAAGCAGGAAAGAATATATCGCTGAAACAAGTACGAGTAAACCCATTGAAATGTCCACAGTAATACAGCACTGATGCTCGAAGACTGTCGTTCATGTCTGCGAGAGAGTTTTGTGCCGATATCGGACATGTGACAAACATCGTGC